TGGCTCAATAAAGCCTCTGAACATTCCTGCTCATTTTTTCCTCTTTTCTTCAGGGGTTTATGTCTGCCTAATCAAAGTTCAACCCCAGTCAGAGGAGCTGCTCCAGGCCCTCAGCAGGGCTGACACCTCCGTCTATGGGTGGGCCACACTGGTCAGTGAACGCAGCAAGAATGGAATGCAAAGAATCCTCATTCCTTTCATCCCAGCCTTTTACATCAACCAGTCAGAATTGGTTCTTAGCCACAAAGACGACATCGGGGAGATAAGAGTAATGGGAGTGGACAGAGTTCTTGAGAAGCTAGAGGTATGTTGAGAACCGAACCAAAACAGAACAGTTATGAAAAAAAAGAGGTGTTTGATTCCCAGTCTAAAGGTAAAGAAAGTTTTCAAATGATTTGATAAAATTCACCAAAAGGAATTCTTAAGAGGATGAAGAAAATGTGTTCCTTTCACAATGTCAGGGGGACTCCCAGAGTTATTAGCTGGAAGATAACACCAATGTTATCTTAAAACAATCTTTACAATTCTAGTTTAAAACTTTTTTGAAGCAGATTTTATTCTCACAGATCACTTTTCCCCCTTATCATTCAACATATCTAAGTGTGAAAAAAAAATGACTTACTGTCAGTTACCTAGGAACTAGAAATCCAGGGGTCTTACTGTGTATGTTTAAGATTGGAATGGCTGATGTGAAACTGACTTTTCTTTCAAGTAAGTGCCATTTTATCTTTTCTCCAAGGTCTTCCCTAACTCCCCAGTTCTAGTGGTCTCTAGTCATATGGTCTCTGGCCATAGTCACTCTTCCCTCACGCCTGGCCTCGCTATCTACCCCGTAAGAGTGGTCAACTTCACTTCCCTTCAGCAGATGACATCACCTGTTTTCATCAATATTTCCTGTGTGCTCACCAGTCAAAGTGAAGCTGTGCTAGTGAAAGCTATTAAGGAGAAGCCTGGTGCAGGTGAGCAATGGAGGCTCCTATTTTCAAACCAGAGAAGGAACAAGACAATGTATTACAATTAGTTAATGGAAAACATTCAGCCACTTGACCAATATTTACTCAAACTAGCTGGGGCATGGATCAATTTTCCAAGCCCACCGAAAACACAATGGTTTATCACTAGCTCTATCTATCTACACATATAGATAGCTTTTTTATCACTAGCTATATGTGATACTTAACCTATTTTTAATAGTCACGTCAGTTTAACAAGTCCGTCAGCTTCATACATGTACTACTTTTCCGTTTTAAAGCTCTTGATGTTTCGTTTTCTTCAAAACTATTTAGCAGATCTTTTGTGTCAAGCAAAGGGCAAATGGCAAATGGCAAATTCTGGAAAGAAGACTTAGCTTCCCCAAGTCCTGATTCTAGCCTTACCCAGTTTAGAAATGATGCCAAGTTTTGGTGGTATGAGAACAGTTACAGAAAGAGATGTTAAGAAAGCTAGAGGCCCTGGCCAGGTTACTCAGTTGGTTAGAGCGTTGTCCCAATACAAGGTTGGGGGCTCGATCCCCAGTCAGGAAGCAACCCATGAATGCAATAAATGCAATGAAGTGGAATCTTTCTTTCCCTCTAAAAATCAGTAATTTTTTTTTTAAAGTCACAGAACCATCCTTACATTTATCACTTCCACTTGTCCATCCCTCAAGGGCAACAGTACTTAATTGTTGGGAGTGAATTAGGCCAAACCCTAGTATAGTGTTTATAGAAGCATTTGATATGTGCTAGTCAACAAATATCCTAAGCATGTTTATATGCATTTTAGTTCTCCTAACTCAAAAGGGTAGATGTATTTTGCCCTTTAGAATTAAGAATCCAGGTGTTCAAGGCCCACCACTAAAAAGTGTTCAACTCCAATCTGTGCTGTATTAGAGCAGCTTTTAAATGAGTTGATTTATAAACTCATTATGAATACAGGCAACAAACAACAGCAGTATCAACAGTGAGTTTGTCACCAATGGGATCCAGATATTTTCATGTTCCAATTGTCACATCTCAAAATATTTTTCAAAATTACCATGATCAGACCTGAAGCTAGACTTGTTGGTAAAGCACACATATTACTGTAACACAAATTAGGGCTTTTAACATTTTGCTGTGTAATTGTTAGAGTTTTTTTCTATTTTGGTTAATTTTTGATATAATTGGTTTCATTTCTATGTACAATATATTTTGCACTAAAAATATTCCAAGAGGAGATGTATAGATTTTACCAGACAGCCAAAGTTACCCATGGCAAAAAAAAAAAAAAAAAAAAAAAATTGTTAAAAATTTCTGCACTTCTTGGAGACGAGGGATCAGCGGGAACAGTACAACCACGGTGGGTAGCAGTGGTTAACTACAAATACCTAACCCAGCCTTCAGCTCAGTCACACAAGCATGTGCCTACTGGTATATACCAGGCATGATTCCTACTGCAGACATCATACATAAGACAAGGCCCAGTTGGGGAAATAGGAATTAGTTCAGTGTAGACACAACAGTGGGATGCTAGAAAATACACCTCGTTTTATTTGGACTTTCAACAGTGGGACCTGATCAGGGATTAGTGTTGAGAATCTTAGTATATGCACCTCAAGCAACCTCATTCTTCAGAATGAAGCAGTTTGTCAACTGTGAAGCAGTGAGACAGTTGTTGAAAAGGTGAGAGGCTTAAGACCAGTTTTAAGTCCACAGGTAGAGAGCCTATACCAGAGATACAGAATAGGAACTATGTATGAGGGCCTGATGACAGTTTATAGTGGAAGAACGGGAAATTTAGTGGGGCAGAAGAGTTCTAGACACTGAAAAATTTGAAATAATCAAAGGTAGGTACCACATATGCTTCAGAAAGGAGTCTTAACGTTTTATTAATGACAAAGTTATATACGAATCAAAATGTTGCCTAGAAACATCCTGAGTGAAAAAAGAAAAGGAGCCCTTGGATTTAAGAGGCCATTAGGGAACCAAACAAATGTTTCACATTACAGGGATTAGAATTAGAAATCACGACCATAGATTGCCAGGAATTTAGTGAGGAAAAATATAACAGCCATTTTCAGATTGCAGGGGTTTTAAACACTCTTGTAAGCTGAGAGGAAAAACTAAGGATCAAGAATTGGGAGTTTACTACTTTGGAGACAGGAAAAAGCCAAAAAGATGGAGCCAAGTAGTTTACCTCTTTACTCTGGTAAGCAGCAAAACCATTTCCCACAACATCAATTTTCACCCTGTCTCATCTCACAGCACACAAATTCTGGAGCACACAAAAATGTATCAAGGGTCCTACACAAATAACACCTGTTGGAGTGCGGTTGGCAGGGTAATAGTATGGGTGTAGTACTCTAGTTTTCATTTGAACATTTCGCCTAAAATGTCACATGGTTTCAGTGATATTGTTACAGAATTACATGCTTATTTCATAGTAAAAACGGGGCACTATTTGTGCTGAACCCTGTTTTGTTGTTTTATCTTTTTTAAAAAAGGCATACTTTTGATTCATTCACACCAGACGTCTATTGTGTTGGCTGTTGTCATTTTTTTAAAAATATGACATTCGAAGGAAAGGAGTCAGTGGCCCTAAGCAGTCAGGTATTGCATGTTTTAAAAAATTCTTGCATCAACCGGTTGAAAATCAGCGTTCTAGAGGTCTGGATTTTGAGTGCTTCTGCTAGATACGTTTGTGACAAGGTTTTAAATGCAGCATCTGCCCTGATGTGTTATTAAATAACTATCTTCTTTTGTTCTGGCCAATGCACAGATCAATGTGAAGATTCAGGTGTCCTCCCTAAGTTCGTGGGTTCTTACCAGATCCTCTTAACCGTCTTTGCAGTGCTGGCATCAACAGCTTTCATCTTTCTAGGTAATGGACTTGACTTGGAAAATGCCTTTGTACTTAGCAAACTAAGTAAGGATGAAAATTAGTTTTTCATCTCATCTAATTTGGGACAAGCAGGTGAAACTAATTTAGCCTCCCTAATCCTAGTCACCTAGTAGATTAAAGGCCCTACTCAAGTTACAACTACCATAAATTGGATGTAGCAAACAAATACCATTCAGAAGTGTAAATCACTGCTAACCCTTTAATGACTAGTTTTGCTCAAATTCATAGCTAGGGATGATTTGAGCAATACAACACAATTGTCTACACCTGCACTTTCCCCGACCTTTTGGCCAGAAGATAAAAGCATCTCTAAAAATAACTGAATAAAAATTTCCTAATTACTATCAAGTTAATTTGAAGTATTACTAAGGCCTTCCTCCAACGAAGACAAATATGCTTCTTTACCGACACCTCCCTTGTTCTTATTCCAGCATACAATGCCTTCGTAAATAAGATACAGACAATTCCAGTTGTTTATGTACCAACTCTAGGAATGTCAGAGTCAGGTAAAGAATCACCATCATTATCTCCTTCTAATCTCAGATATCCATATTTTATTCACCTTTCACCTATTTCCCATTTATTTCTAGGTTCTTATACCTCCACACGTTCTCCTCCTCCTCCCTTCATGAGTCCACAACCCCCACCAGCCCAGAGTCGGCTACAATACTGGCTATGGAGTATAAGGCACTAACCTCCACTTGGACAAGTCTCCTTAACTGTAGGAGACTGGAGGTTTCTGGCCCTTACCCACCAAGAGCTGCCTAGCAACAACCTCTATATTCACAAGCCTCTGAACATGGTTTCTGACAACTGTAAATAAAAGATCCTGAGTTGTTTTGTATTAAAGTAGTGTGCTGGATTGTGTTTCAAAGATCAATGGTCAGTTTCTATTCTTAATTATAAGAAAACCTGAAAGTGAATGTAAATATCTCATTTATATAGTATACCACATTTTTTCCATCAAGCTCTGAAGGTTTACTTAATGTGCCCTGGTGGACAGAAATGTCCTAAATGGACTTTTAAGGCACTTGGCTACTTACTTGCCCTCAATGACTTAGCAGTCCATCCTTCTGGTTGCCCCTGAATACTTGAGGTTAAGAACTTCCTAGCAGTAAACTACAAGACAATAAACAGGATGTATCCAAAATGTGTTTATTGGGATGGTTCCCCACTCATCTTGATTCAGGGTGCTTTTAGTGCTGCTTCCTTCTGAAGGAGCATCCTGGAAGAGAAAGGTTCAAAGGTTAGCTGACAGTAGCCTACTTTCCCTGCCCCACACTCATAGAACTGATGTCTCATGATCCATTCACAAGAAAGCTACCTCTTTTCCTTAACTCCTTTAGTTAATACCTAGCCACTTAAGGACCCTTCTGGCTACAGCTCATAACAACTGCTTTTATCATCCACTCATTTCAACTTTAGACAGTAGTGTTTTGAGATTAAGAAATGTGGTGTTGGCCCTGGCCAGGTAGCTCAGTGGTGGTTAGAGCATCCTGATAAACCCAAGATTGTAGGTTTGATCCCCAGTCAGGACACAAACAATCAACCAATGAATGTATAACTAAGTAGAACAATGAACTGATGATTCTGCCTGCCTCTTTTTTACAAAGTCAATAAAATAAAGACGAAAAAGTCATGTCTGCTAATCTATCTGGGGAGAAGACTATCAAATCCAACCCTCTTTACAAGAGTCTGACCATTTACATTATGATCCTTCCATCACTGTGAGATTCAAAGCCCAAGTTCCATTAGTTAAAACCATTTACCTTCTGTAAGCCTTGCTTTTCCTCCTGTAGGCTGACAGAGGACAGTGGAACAGCCAACACACAAAACTACTGTTTGTGCATGGCTAAAGACGGTGGTGATTTTATAGCATCCTGGAAAAAGACATGAAGAAAGGGTTATATTTCTTCCATGCCTTCACTTATACATATGCTCTCATGTATTAACTGGTAAGACATGCATGTTATGTAAACTTTTGAAGTTTACTATCCTATTCGAAACTGGACTACCTGGCTCTAAATACACATTAAAGCCAACTTGGAAGCAATCTGGACTACCTGCCCCCACCTATAAATGTTCGGTTAATAGGTCACTACCATCCTACAGTCTGAAAGGGAAAGTAGTGGAACGAACAATTATTCAGAGGTCCTCCACTTGGGAGGGAAGGATGGTGAGTATAGGGTCAACACTACTAACCTCCAGGTACAAGTACTTGGTGACCAAGACAGAAGCACAACACATCATCCTAGTTTCTTAACACAACGAAATGTTAAGGTTTGTAAATGGAGTTTTGATGGGAAGTCACTCTGCATCACTCCTCCGTAAGTACAAAGTTTTACGTATCTCCTACATTCGAATTTTAAGATATTGCAGCTGTTCGAGGATATGGTACAGCTCACACTACACCTTTTTCCAATTCCTGGACCCAGTGTTTTCTTGGCTACTGCAAACCAGCTCCTCACCTGGGCATTTCACATCCATGAAGTAGGAATTGGGGCTCTGCACCAGGCGCTTCTTCTTGTGTTTCCTCTTCTCCTCTTCTGGCGAGGGATGAAGGAGATCCTTAGCGAGCTAAGAGAGGCAGACATGTAGAGATTTAGAAACCACGGGCGAAAATGGGACGATCGAAAACATCCCCCACCGCCACACACCGGGGAGAGCTCGCCCCTCGCCGCCCCTGGTGTCTGCGCAGCTGGGCCGCCATCTTATCTCCTCTCCGCTCCCGTCTATGCAGGGGGCCTCGCGGGCCTCTGCAGTCCCTGTAGTTAATGTCCTAGGAAACGCGGAGGGCAAACGAGGACCCTCTACGACTCGAAATCAGCGTGAGAGGAGCGTGCGGACCGAAGAGCGAGACCTCCGCCGAAACCTGCACCAAGGAACTCACAGGCATGTTGCCGTGGGGAGGTCGTCACCACCGGAAAGGGGCGCAAGCGGAAATCCTGCTCTTTATATCCGCCGTCCTGCAGGATGTGACGCCTGGGCCTTCGCCGCCATGATGGGAAGGTCCGTCTCTCAACGTCTGCTGTGGGGCGAGGAGGGCGCTGCCATTTTTGGGAGGTCGCTAAATGGTTGTCGGGACACAGAGGTGGTGCCATGTTGAGAGTTAGCTTCCTATCTTAAAAAGGTGTGTGTTTGACCTGTATCAAGAGATACGTGGGCCCTGGTTGGTGTGGTTCAGTGGGTTGAGCACCGGCTCGTGAACGGAAAGGTCGCTGGATCCATTTCCCCCTCAGGGCAGGTACCTGGGTTGCGGCCCAGATCCCTGGTTGGGCGGCTCTCACATTGATGTCTTCCTTCCTCCCTCCCTCCCTAAAAATAAATAAAATCTTTGGGGGAAAAAAAGTAAAAGAAAGATTAAATTAATTTAAAGAAAGATAAATGGACACGTAAAATTTTGTGCTGCACTTTGGCAGTGGGAGCCTAATAAAAAGGAACTTCTGAGGAAAACAGGAGGAGCCAGCCATGTCCAGACTTCTTAAATTTCTTTATTATTTTTCAATTGGTGTGATTTGTTCATTTTAAACAATTAAGAAATGTAAACATAAAAATGTAAAGTCCTCATATTTCTCCCATCCCCATCCTACTCCTAGGGTTATTAAATTTATTGTCAACTTCCAATGCCTCCCTCTAATAATTACGTCAAACACATGGTGCTTACTAGATGCATTGTTCTAGCTACACGTGTTAATCTTTACAGTAATTTATCAGGTTGATAATATTATTCTCCACATTTTACAGATTAGGAAAGTGATGCATAGAGAAATTGTCCAAAGTACTACTCAGCTGCCTCTCAAAAAGTTGTGCCAGTTTACATCCCTACAACCTTTCCCCACACTTTGACCAGCAATGCCTTTCCAAGATTTCTAATCTTTGCATAACTAACACTCAAGACAGGAAAGGAGAACAAAGGAAAAGTTAAGACTGAAGTATCATCTTCTGCAATAATAATTAAAGGTTTAGAATGTCTATTTGTCATAAAGGAGGAAGGAAGATGATGCACATGGCATTTGGGTATCCAGTTAATGCCAAAGGAAAGAGATAGAGCAAGCAAGGAATGTGAGTTTCAGTTAGGAACATGCTTGTAGAAGTGTAACAACTGACTCTGTGGAGGAAAGCCCTAATTTGTTGTCTTTGCTAATTTCAATGGTGCAAATATTCCTAAAGTGGGAGATGCCAAAATACCAGTTTGACATTAAACATGGAGTTGATAGGGACATGTCTGTTCTCATGAGACAGTAAGATCTGGTTTCAGTATGTTAATTATAATTGAAAAATTTGGGGGGTCGAGGGCTGGCCAGAGAATATACATTTCAACCCTGGAAATAGACACAAGGAGTCAGTTTGCCCCTTGTGTTAAATCTAGCCTGTCCACCTGTTACTACAGTGGGGGCACAGGGGAGGCTCCCCTATTGGTCAAGAGGGCAGCAAGGGGAAGGTTCTTACACTGAGCCTCCTTGGAAAGCCAGAAAAATAAATGGGCCCTGGCTGGTGTGGGTCGGTGGATTGGGTGCTGGCCTGCCAACCAAAAGGTCGCCAATTCCCAGTCAGGGCACATGCCTGGGTTGCGGGTCAGGGCCTCCAGGTTGGGAGTGTGCAAGAGGCAACAGATCCATGGATCTCTTGCACATTTATGTTTCTCTCTCTGTTTCTCTCCCTCCCCTCACCTCTCTCTAAAAAGAAATAAAATATTTTTTAAAAAATAGAAAGATGAATGGATAGGGCCCCCAGTGTGCCAAAAGCTAGAAAATAATTGGATAGGAAAAAAGACCCTCCACTCCCTATGCCACTAAGAACCTCTGGCTTTAGCAGGAAGATTGATGTGATCTTCCAGTTAGAAGTCCACTGTTGTCCCAGGATCTGTGGGCACCTGAATAAAACCTCTTTCCTTTTGCATCAGCACCTGCCTCGTGAGTTTGGCTTTTGCTGTGGCAGGCAGCCCAACTTCCTCTTTGTTGGGTTACACACCTACATAAAGGTTACATACTGGCAGGAAAAAGAATGGATCCAGCATTTTCTCCTATTGGTTACTTCTTCTGGCGGCTGCATCCTCTCGGGTCATAACTTCATACATGTAAGTAGGAGCTGGAAAGGATGATGGTATTTCCATGTATGAGCCATTGATTACGGTGAAGTAGTTTGGCATATCACCACTAGCAGTGGGACATTAGCACTGATGGACATTTGTGTCGTTCAGTAGTTTCCTAACTCATTGGCACCTTCAAGGTCACATTAAGGTCCTTGTAGTTCCCTCTCGTTGCAGAAAGGGAAACAGATTCAGAGTTAAAGTTATGTTCTAAGGTCCACAGTAAATCCAAGTTTTCTAACACAAAATTTCTCATTTGTGGCATTGCAGCTGCCTCAGTGGTGATTTCTCGGTCTTTTGAAAACCATGTCCCTTGTGAGGATGCTGGAAAAGGCATGGCTCAGCTGATTAAGAACCAACTCCAGTCCCGTGTGGTGTGGCTCAGTGGGTTGAGTGCCGGACTGCAAAACAAAGGTCACTGGTTTGATTGCAGTCAGGGCATGTGCCTGGGTTGCAGCCGAAGCTTCCACACACTCTCCGCTGCCCCCACCCCCAAGGTGCCGGAGAGACAGCAGAGGCAATCTATCAAAGTTTTTTCTCCCTCCTTCCCCTTCTCTCTGAAAGTAAGTAAATAAAGTCTTTTAAAAAAGGGGGGAGGGTTGTGGGAGAGGCAGCCGATTGATGTTTCTGCTACCTGGCCAGGGCCTCATCAGACTTTTAAATTTGTATCATTCTCATTTCCTGATTATGTGTAAAGTTGCACATTTTTCACACTTCTCATGATTTCTTCTCGATTTGCCTCTTCATATTCTTTGCCTATTTTTATACTTGCTCATTTGTCTTTTCACTATCGATTTTCTTGATTTTTCATTCTCTGTATAATTCATTATCGGTTTATATGTTACAGATACCTTATAATAGCTTTAGGCTTGACTTTTCACTTTGTTTATGGTATAATTCAATTTTTCTAAAAATTTAAAAATTTTGGGTTTTCACATTTAGGTCTTTAATACCCCTAGGATTTCTTTCTCATGTAATTTATGAAATTTGGATCAAATTTTATATTGATTTTGTCTAAACACTACTTGTTGAATAGTTCATCCTTTTCCCACTGAATTTTATGGTCACCTTGGCTCTATATTGTTTCTATACACGCATGGAACTGTTAATGGACTCTGTTTCATTCCTCTGTCTATCCCTGTGCCAAAGCCACACTTTCTAAATTACTATATGTATGTGTGTATATATATGTATACACACAAATATATATATAGAGAGAGAGAGAAAGACTTGTTCATCTTCAACTTTATCTTGCTCTCCCATAGAAGTTTTAGAATTGTTAATTACATACACACACACACCTCACTTCTATGATTTTCACTGAAAGGGTACTGAATAGATTAATTGGGAGATCATTGATATTTTTTAAGATTTTATCTATTTACTTTTAAGTGAGAGAGAGGAAGGGAGAGAGGGAAAGAAACATCAGTGTACGAGAGAGATATCCACCGGTTGCCTCTCATATGCCCCCAAGGGCAGACCTGACCCACAGCCCAGGCTTTTGCCCTGACTGGGAACTGAGCTGGTGACCTTTTGGTTTGGGCGACAATGCCCTACCCACTGAGCCACACCAGTCAGGGTGATAAATGATATAATCCCTAATGGTACTTGAGTTTGGGAATACCTATCACAGATGAAGGAAGGTCAGAGCTCACTCTGAATAATGAAATGACCCCTGGCTTCTGCCTGGCAGCTCTCTTATGAATGGAAATCTCTTTCCAAATGGCCATCCTTGACTAAACTTTGGATGCAGTACAACAGATGTTTTTCTCAATGGTTAACCAAGGTGGAAAATGATTATTGTAGTGAAATTTGCTAAAAATCTTTTCTAGCTGAGTAATCAAATATATGTAATTACGGGGAGAGAACATGTAAGAACAGTACAAGGGCCAAGTCAGTTGGATCCCCATGGTGGTCTGCAAGAGAGCACTCACACCCACCAGGGCACAGTGGGTAACCGTCTTTGCAGGCTGGAAGCACTGCCAGCTAGATAAGAGATTCAAAACAGAATAATGAGAAAACAAGAATAGTGTCCCCAAGCCTGCTGAGTTTGACATGTCCAAAGATTATTACCCTTCCCCTCTGATGAGTGCTTTCCTCTTCCTCTCAGCTTTTCTATAATACCTAAGATTCAAAGAAAAACAATCCCTGAATTCTAAAGAGTAATAATTCTTTATTTTGGAAGACTTCGATACTGTTAATGAGGATTTTTAAAGGATGAGAGCATATTTCTTTTAATTCTTAAGATTTTCAAGAAAATAAAATAACTGTATCATAGAAAAAAATTTAAGTTATTAAAAAACCCCCCACAACTGGTTCCAGGACATTACAAAAGGGCCAGTAAAACCTCTAAGGAAGCTGAAATCTCCTTAAGGACAAGGAGACAACCATGCAGCAATCTGGGAAGAAAGCATTCTCGGCTGAGGGAAGAGCTTGTGAACACAAAACCCAAGGCCAGAGGGAGCCTGCCACAAGTGGGGGCAGGAAAGGATTGCTGCCAAAGGGACTGGGGGAGAGTACTACAGAGATGCGCTTCCACTGAAAGCAGGCATCCTTCAGCACAAGGACATTTTGTAGAGGCGAGTAAGAATAATAAATTGTAGGGGATGAAGAATACAGATTCAGGCAAAATAAGATGAAAAGAAAAGGAACTGATGGATTTTTATCAGAACAATCGATGGAAACTGAGCAGTAATTTAAAGGACTGGTGAAAGGTGGTTTGGCCAGTGAGGAGAAATAAAGAAGACTTAGGTTTGTGGCACAGCTTAAAGACATACAAGAGATGAGAGAATGGATAAAAAAGGGGACTGAATAGTTGTGTTTGAGAAGGCACAAACAAGGGCACAGAAGGTGATAAAGGGAAATGACAAAAGAAGCCTCCTCACAACCAGCGCGCTATTTTTACACAAGGATGATTCTACTGAGCTATGGTTAGAAAAGCAGATAGCTATTCTGAATAATTTTTTTCTCAAAGGCAAAGATAAACATTTCTTTATAGCCATGTTCTCCATACTTCAGCTTCCTGGTTGCCATGGTTACCCATTCACTGTCCCTTTAGTAGGGTATCTGCCTCGGAGCTGTCTTCAAACATGCATATCTCATCAGAAGAATGAAACCAGACATTTGTTCCAATCTTTGTCTTTCTAAGCTGGCTTATCAGAGAAGTCATACACAGTCCCAGAAGGAAGTCTGTTCCAACGGAAGCCTCAGAATGTGTCTAGGTGAAGAGACAGCGGGAAAGGAGAAGAGGGAGGTGTGTTTGGGTAGGGGGAAGCTAATTCTGCGGTATAACCAATGTTAATTTTCACTCTGTCCCACCAGGGGGCAGACTGAGTCAACAAAAAACCTATTCCAGGGCACCCCGCTTTTTTCAAAAGGAGTTGGGATTCTAGAACTATGGGCTTGCTACACTAACACCAGAACTCTACGTCTGCCCCAGAAGGACTTTGTCTTCCTTGAATAGCCCTTCCAGAAACCTCCAATTTTTGTCAGGTGCCAGCCCCGTCCTTGACTTCACCTTTATTCCCCCAAATTTTCTCCTAATTCCTCTAAAATTCCTCTTTCTCCTGGTCATCCTGGTTAAACTTCTGCTTTTCCTCACCCCAGCCTCCCTGGCCCCCGACTGGAAGAAAGGTCAAAAGAGAAAGAGGAGGAGGACAGTAAGCTCTGCGAAAGCTAGAGAGAAAGACAGGCCAGGCCCGCCGATGTTGTGAACGGAAAGGCCAGAGAACACCAGGCTGGGGCTGGCCTCTGCAGAGCCGAAAGGGGTGGGCGGGCAGGGGGTGGGGCCCGGAGGAGTGCCGCCTCTCTATCCCGGAGCCCGGGAGGAGAGGGAGGAAAACTTCCTGGCCTGGGCTACCGGCGCTTCTGTCCGCCTACCCTCCAGTCCCGCCCACCAGTGCCCAGCGCTTCCCCACCCCTCCCCCGGCTCCTTCAGTGTCCGCCATGGCCAAAGCCTACGACCACCTCTTCAAGTTGCTGCTGATCGGGGACTCGGGGGTGGGCAAGACTTGTCTGATCATTCGCTTTGCAGAGGACAACTTCAACAACACTTACATCTCCACCATCGGTGAGCTCACTGGCCCTCTCCCAGACCCCTATTCCCTCATACCCTCATCTCCAGGCTTCCGGATTACTAGTGGCCCCACCTTTCAATCCCCTTAGAATGAGACTTCTAAACTCGGGTTCCTCAACCTCTGTTTCAGACCCGTCCCCCATACATGTCTCTGATTGGTACCCAAACTTCTACCCTCTCTGCAGCGTCCAGGTAACTCCTTGATTGTGCCAACCCCTCATTTTCTTGGTCATTCTTCTCATCTCCCCGGGTCCACATAAGCCCTACTCTGTTTCCCTCTCAGCTCGTCTTACTTAACCCACTGCCATCCACCTAGAACTCTTCAGCCACTCTTCACATTTCCTGTATTCCCTCTTCCTGAGCATCTGTCTCCCAACTCTGCTAGCCTCTTTCTGACCCAGTGAGTTTCACACTCTCCCACTGCATCCCCATCTTATTATCTACTTCTCAGTTGCCTTGCACCCCAACTTAATAGGGGGATGGGGAGGGTGGAACATAGTAGCTGGGTGTCCTAGAGGGTGGCCCACGGGCTGTGAGCCTGAATATGCAGTTAGCCTGGTGAAGAAGTTGGCAGTGAGGGGACTTTTGGGGTCTCTGAGTCAGCCTAGTGACTCAGCCTCCTCTCTAGGGCTCCCAACAGGCTTGGGGGAGGTGCCCAAGTTTCCACTAAGAACAGTGTCTCCTCTCCTCCCCTCTTATCTTCCTTAATCTCCTCTGGTCTGGGAATTAAGACAAGGAGAGTCTCAAGACAATTCTGGTGAAGGCCCTGGCTGGGTTGGTCAGTTGGTGAGTGTCATCCCTATATGCCAAGTTTGCAGGTTCGAACCCCAGTCAGGGCACATACAAGACTCAGCCAATGAATGTATAACTAAGTGGAATAATGAATCAATGTTTCCCTCTCTCCCTCTTTTTCTCCTTCCCTCTCTAAAATCAATAAATAACCATTTTTTAAAAAGAGACATTCTGGTTAGAAAGCAGAAGGAAAAATGTCCCTTTTTCCTAGTTCATTCTCAGGAGGACTCTTGTTTAACCTCAGACTTTCTTGGTTCCAAACCTGGCCTAATAGTTAAGACTGGCATCAGCTACCCTTTTCCTCACAGGCCAGGAGGGTCAATGAGTATGGAGAGTAGAGGGTTCTAGGAAAACAGACGGGAAAAGAAATCTGAAAGTAATGTTTTGGGGGAGACAGACTGGATTGAGAGAGTTGTCAGCTGACATGGTGAGTGGACCCAAGAGGTGCCTTAGTGGCCTTAAGTACCTCCCTGCAGAATGTTCATTATCGCCTCCACCACAAAATTCGTAAAACCTAAGTAAAAACAACATGCTTGCTATACAAATACAGTTTTGAGGAAATTCTCCTAGCTTTACACTTCCAACAAGGCTGCTTCCCATGTTCCTCCCCTGCACACTTTCTGTCACTGCCACCGCCCCATCCTGTATCTCCCACCACACACTACATGCACACACCTATGTGTCTCAGCTTCAACATACACTCTCCACTTCTAGGAATTGACTTCAAGATCCGCACTGTGGATATAGAGGGGAAGAAGATCAAACTGCAAGTCTGGTGAGCGAATCCCCCAGGACTCCCAACCAGACTCCCTCCTCTATTCCCATAACCCTTTTCCTTCTATTTTGCTTCATTGCTTTCCTTTTCCTCATTGCTCCTTCCAGCTCTTCTGATCATTTCTGTCACCTCACTCAAATGTCTTTCCATCTCTCTTCCTGCTCGCTCAACTATTTTTGTCATTTTTGTAACTCTCTTGCCTCTCCTGGCTCCAGAGCATGCTCTGAGCTTGACTGTAGATATCCGTTGAGCTATAATATGGAAACAGGCTCTAAGCAGTTAAGTAGCAAGTAGCAGAATTAAGACTTGACTCTAAGTCTAGATCGCTCTAAATTATGGAGAGCCCAGAAAGCCCAGTGTATAGGTTTGACCTGTCATAAGGAAGCTGTAGGATATGAGGCTTAATGGAACATTATGATACAACAGATAAGAACAAATTGGTTCAAATCCCGGTTGTGTTACAGAATGACCTTCATAAATTAGCCTCATCTATCTGTTTCCTCATATGTAAAATAGGGACAATAAAACATGTCTCACAAGGATAGAATGAAGATTATACAAAATGATACATATACAGTGCTTGGTATAGAGTAAGCATCCAGTGAATAAACCAGAGAGATCTTGTTTCTTGGGCTTCTACCATTTCCCAACATCAGCTCAACTGTCTTTCATCCCTTTCCCCCTTTACATCCCTTGTTCCGATTCTGTTCCTTGCAGCCCCATCATGTGAAAGCTAAGTTCTTAGCTGGTGAGGGATGGAGTTCTTAGCTGGTGAGGGATGGGGGTAGTCTCTCTTTGGGGAGTGCTTCCCTCTATCCTACCCAACAAAATATTCCACCTCCTCAGGGACACAGCTGGCCAAGAGCGATTCAAGACGATAACTACTGCCTATTACCGTGGAGCTATGGTACGAAGTATGGGTCTGGACAAGAAATGAGGTCATGAGGCAATGAAATGTAGGTTTATGAGTACAGAGAGGCAGGGAAAAATAGGAGTTGCACAGAGTGGGTTGCAGAGGGACCCACATGTCTTAGTGATCTGACTCATGGATAAAACTTGCAGGGTTACTTAGAGGGCAATGGGAAACCTAAACAGGGGAGTGTGGTCCAGGGCTCCATTGTGAACCCTGTCATCCTCCAGGGCATTATTCTAGTGTATGACATCACAGATGAGAAGTCCTTTGAGAATATTCAGAACTGGATGAAGAGCATCAAAGAGGTGAGGATCCTTCCAGAGCGATTGGGGAATTGGGTAGAACCTGAAGGATGAAGGGGGTTGTGAGGATGAGCAGGACCCAGCTTACCCTTTTGCTCCTAGAATGCCTCAGCTGGAGTGGAGCGCCTCTTGCTGGGGAACAAGTGTGACATGGAAGCGAAGAGGAAGGTACAGAAGGAGCAGGCTGATAAGGTAAGGACCAGGTCGGGCAATGTTCTAGAACTGGGCTGGGAGGGCCAACACGAGGTTGGATTGCAGAGGACTTGGCTGCTGCCCTTTCTCCAACTCACTTCCTCCCACTTCACCCCCTGTAGTTGGCTCGGGAGCACGGAATCCGATTTTTCGAGACTAGTGCCAAATCCAGTGTGAATGTGGATGAGGTGAGACACACCTCCTCCCCAGAAACAGAGTATTGGGAAGATAGACTTACCCTTTCTCCAATCTGTTCTGATGAATCCCCTTTCCCCATTAGGCTTTCAGTTCCCTGGCCCGGGATATCTTGCTCAAGTCAGGAGGCCGGAGATTGGTGAGTTTTTTCCTGCTTGGCTTAGTACCACTGTGGGAATGTGGGGGGGGGGGGGGGTCAAAACTGAGGAGGGGAGCAGTGCTAAGACTTCCCATAAGGGTGGGTCCCCTTCCTGTGGTTTATAGCCTCAGACCCCAGCCAGCCATTCTCACCCTGACTTCTGTGCCCTTCTGCCTCTAGGGAAACAGCAGCAAGCCCTCCAGCACTGACCTGAAAACTTGTGACAAAAAGAACACCAACAAGTGCTCCCTGGGCTGAGGACCCCTTTCTGCCTCCCCTCCCAGCCTGGAGGTTGAACCTGAGGGCAGCAGGGTTGAGGGGCTGGATGGGGAGAAATAGATGGGGCTAGGACAGGTAAAGATGAATAGATGGTGAAAGAATGGGGAGAAAATGGAGAAGGAAAAAAGGAAAGTGGGAGAAGGAATGAGTAAAGAAGGAAACGAGATAGAATAAAGAGAGAAGAAGCAAGAAGGGAAGGAATTGAGGAAGTGGAAAAAGGTGAGATGGATGAAGAGAGTAGGGGAGAGAAGGAAGTGTAGATGGCTCTGGGCCTCAGATCTTCCCTGGGATTTTAGGACAAACATAAATAAATAATTGATTTATTTTATTATTGGATCAGGTTTTCAGGTCTTGTGGGAGGCTGGCTCAACACCACCCTCTGAATGTTTGGTCCTATCCTGTTACTCTGCATGGTCTTTATCAGTATTAAAGGCCACCATTTGCACAAATGTCCCTAGTTTGGGTAACTTCCATCATTGTTCAAATTGTTCTCTCCTCATAAACCTAATTCCTGTCTCTAAGGTGGTTGGGCTGCCTGAATTTGGCTGGGCTCCTGGGATGCCAGGACTAGTCCTACAGCTTCTCCTTTCCCCATCTGTTTAATTAATGAGAAAAACAGCAAGGAACAGAGGTTCTCTGAACTTGAAAGTGTGGACATACTCTTTTCTATTATGGATTTAGAGGGTCATTGTGGGCAGAGCCTTCTCCAGGAGATTGCGAGACACTTTCTGGGTCTCCCCCGGGGAGTAACAGCCCTAGCCTCAGGGAAATAACAGGACTTAGTATTGTTATGCAGTGATTTTTCCAAGCATCTTTGATTCTGCCAGCAATCCCTTTAGGTATCTGGTAGGCATTTTCTGCTTTTACAACTGGGGAAAATGAGACACAGAAGAGGTTCATTTATTCCTAAATATTTAATGAGCATCTACTTACTACCTGTACCAGGCACAGTGGTCAAGTTAGCATAACCTTTGGTGGTACTTAAGAGATGTACAGGCAAATCTTAACAGAAACAGCCTCTAACTATACAAAGAGGCAAAAGTATTGACATGCAAAAGAACCACCACGAAAAAATTCAGGCTTGATACACAACCCTCTTAGTATACATAACCTCCTTTTACTATTACACAATTTTTTTAAACAGTGAAATTAACTCACAGACTTGATCTTTTATCAAGACAATGAAAATGTCAGATTTGGTTTAGAAGAAATACTTTTAGAAGTTTTTTTTATTCGTGGATATAATGTTCAAGGTGTTTAAGTGGACACAGTGTAGAAGTGGACACACAACCTTGGAGCCAGCAGCAAAGCTTTTTTTTGTGCTATTGTTTCTATTGGAAAAAGCCAGCACTCAGAAAAAAAGTCTGACAGTGCTAGAACTTTGAAATTAATTTGATAGATGTATTAAGTATCCAAGCTTCAGTGGGGTAATGTCCTTATCTGCAGCTTATGTTTGAGCTCTGTAGTCAACTGCCCAGCTAGTTCAATTTTCTTGAGATGAGCAAAGACTTGCATTTTGTGAATCCCAGGAAGACTGACTGATGTCTTCTTCATACCCCAGAGCAGGTTTTTTTTGTTTCTGGTTTTTAATCCTCATTCGAGGATGTTATTGATTTTTAGAGAGAGCGAAACATCAGTGTGAGAGAGAAGCATCAATTGGTTGCCTCTTGCTCTCACCCTGGCCGTAGATCAGACTCGCAGCGTAGGTTATGTGCCCTGACTGAGAATCAAATCCGCAACCTTTTGGTGGATGGGACAACACTCCAACCAACTAAGCCACCTGGCCAGGGCCCAAAGCAAGTATTTTTAAAATTCAGTTTCAGCATAGACACCTTATTTTCAGTTGCTTGGTATGGCTATTGGAAGTGAGATCTTACAAGATCTCACAGCTTATCCTGAGACACAGTAGGATTGGGTAAGTTCAGCTATAACTTATTATGGCTAAAACTTTCTGTAACATACAGCTATTGACACATACAGAGAAATAACTTAAAAATAGTCACAAGCAAAATTAAAGCTCAGCTCTCAAGTTTTGTTTTGTTTTTTCCCCAATTCTTACTTAATGATCTTGATACCCAGACTAGGTAGTTCCCGCTCTTGAGAAGCCAGCTTTAAGTCTGGTGGGAAGTCAGAATTAATGGGCTGTAGCATCAGATATACTGTTAATTCCAAAATAAATTTTCTAGCCTTTAAGGCCATAGAGGAGGGGAGCAGCTGTGGTCTCTAGGCTAGAAAGGCTTATTGGGGGAGGAGAATGCAGAGCAGAGTCAACAAGAAAAAAGTGTGGGGACAGGCCTTGTGATCTTGTGTCCCCTTACTTTTTTCTTGTTAACTCTGCTTCATATTCTCCCCCAGTCTTTCTAGCCAAAAGACTAATTATTAATAAACAGATTATTAATCGTGCATATATTCTTATCAAGTTTGTTTTAAGTACCTCCTATCTTCTGAGTATCTAAGAAAGTTCACATGGTTCAGTTGTCTGGGAAGCTGCAGACATGTGTATATGTAAAACAAGGGGGAGCCCTGAGTGGGGTGGCTCAGTGGGTTGGGCATCATCCCACAAACCTGAAAAGTGGCAAGTTTGATTCCCAGTCTGGGCACATGCCTGGGTTGTGTCTGGGTCAGGTTGGGGACATGCAAGATGCAACCAATCGATGTTTCTCCTCCTCTCTTTCTCCCTCCGTTCCCCTCTGTGGAAATTTAAAAAAAAAAAAAAAAAAAAAAAAAAACTCTTGTTAAAAAAAGAAAAAACTAGGAGGAAAATTCCAGCAGAATGAGAATAGTCACTATTACCATACAGTAATGGATGTGGGTTGAGTCACTGCAGTTCTGGATATATAGCAAGGCCTAACTCCACAGAGATGGAAAGCAGGCCAAAACCTTTGGCCTAGGAGTTGAAAGTCTGTGCTTTAGCCTCAGCTCTCCCACCCACTAGCTAGGTGACTTTGGACAAGTCACTTATACTTTGAGCTTACACATAATACTAGGATAATACCTCCTCTTACTCATAAAATATGGGTTATACCCAATCTAACACCTCAGGATAAATGAGGAGCATCAAATAAGCTAAATGTTGACCAAAAGTATGTCGGAAATGTGGAGCAATACAGTTAAAGGAGAGTTAAGTATTTATACATTTCATTTGCATCTCGACAAAAAAAAAACAAACAACAAACACGAAGAAAATGCATATTAGCATTTCCACAGGGCCAGATATCGTCCTAGACTCAACACTTGGTGGAACTGCATCCTCTTACTGCTCTACTGATCATTCCATTATGTAGGAGCAAGGGAAAGCTAACATTTGAGGCGCTTATCAAAGTTCAGTTTTGGGGAGCAATGAACACGAGTGAAGGTAAGAAAAGTGCAGAGTCCTGAGAGTGCGACGTATGGTTCTTTTTTACATCTCGCTGCTCACCTAACCCAGATGGGCAAACAAGCAGCAGGGATGGGAAACCAAGAGAACGGCTTCATCGCCGCCATTTCCTCCATTTCCACAAAAAGACTACCATGACCATAATGCACCGGTACGCCGAGCCCGGGAGCCGCCTCTCGTGGCGCAAACGCAATGAGATCCTATTGCTGGGGAGCAGCGCGAGGAGTCATCAGCCCTGAAAGACTACAAGGTCCAGCCGGCAGCTCGCGCGTCTCCGCCGACCAGCCTAGGTCTGGAAAACCCGGTTCTGCTGTCGAGACCCGCACCCAGGAGCCTTCGCAGGGTAAGATGGCTGCGCTGGGAGCCGAAGCGGAGGTGAAAGAGTGCTAGGGCCGTATGGCCCTATCCAACAAACGTATTGGCTTTTCTTATCGTGGCTATGGGTACCTTTGTCCTGGCGCAACCTTAGCATTTCGCAGTTTTGATCTGGAACCTCCCGGAGGACAGCAGAGTAAGCGTTTCCTTTGCGATACGACGGAGGCACGGGGTCGCTCAAGCAGGCTCCTCAGCCCCGACAAGTGCGACGCTGAACACTCAATGCCTGTGGGCACGGGGAGGCGTGGCCTCCCCCTGGGCCGCCACCTCTACTGGTTGCTCTGTGCGTTCACTTTAAAGCTCTGGTAAGGAAGGGCGGAGGGGACCGAAGATCGGATAGTCCCTGCCCCCGGGGGTGAGGGAGAAAGTGTCCCCTGACCGTGGGGGCGGGGTGTTCCCTCTGGCTTCTGACTTTCGCCTCTTTTCTCTGTCACCGCTGCAGCCAAGCGGAGGCTCCGGTGCGGGAGGAGAAGCTGTCAGGTAGGTGGTGGTCTGGGAACTCCACGCGCCCATATTTTTTGTCCTGACATCCTCCCATATACCTAAAGCACAGTTGGGAAAGAGCAGCACCACGTGGGATGAGGACATTCAGTTGTGCTGGGAAGTTGGATGGACAGAACCTTTGGGAGAAATATTTTCAGAATGAGGTTTGGGGCTGGCATTTCTCTCCCCTTTTAGTGAGCACCTCAAATTTGCCGTGCTGGCTGGTGGAAGAGTTTGTGGTGGCAGAAGAGTGTTCTCCATGCTCTAATTTCCAGGCTGTGAGTATCTCTTTTCTCTTCCTTTTTTTCTCACATCTGATCAGTCCCTAAGTCTTTTTTATGCCCTGACCAATGCAAAAGTTCAATGAAAATGGAGACGACTCGATTTTTATATTGTAGAAAAACAAGTGCTGTGGAGAGGGGATGGGGGCCTTTTGGAAACAATTTCTCTGGTGAACACAACCATTCTTCATAATTGTTCCAAAGCTTCTAACATGATAATATGTCTTCGTATTACCACCATTCCAGGATTGTTCTGTTGCCCACTAGTTGCCATCTCCACACAGTCATCTATCACAAATTTCATAAAAGGATCAAATCCCCACAATATTCTTGGGCATGTCTGCCACCATTTCATTTAAGTATATTTTATTGATTATGATATTACAGTTGTCCCATTTTTTTCCTCCCCTTTATCCCCCTTGGTCCTGCACCCCACCTCCCACCAGCAACCCCCACCCCCTTAGTTCATGTCCATGGGTCATACATAAAAGTTCTTTGGCTTCTCCATTTCCTATACTATTCTTAACCTCCCCCTGTCTATTTTGTACCTACCAATTATACTTATTCTCTGTACCTTTTCCCCCATTCTCCCCCCTCTCACTCCCCTGACACTGATAACCCTCCATGTGATCTCCATTTCTGTGATTCTGTACCTGCTCTGGTTGTTTGCTTAGTTTGTTTGTTTTTGGCTTTTTGGTTCAGTTGTTGATAGTTGTAGTCTGTTTTCATTTTACTGTTCATAGTTTTGATCTTCTTTTTTCTTAGATAAGTCGCTTTAACATTTTATATAAGGGCTTGGTGATGATGAACTCCTTTAACAGTCCCTAAGTCTTATTAAGTATGTTTTTGCATTGTCTACTTTTTCCATTGATATGTCCAAATCCGAACTTGTCTTCCCCCTGAAAATGTGCCCTTTTCTTTCCAAGTTAATGGCAACATTCAGCTAATAACCATGTCCTGTTCATTTTTAATCCAGTAGGCTCTAGAACCTGTCCCTGCCTCTTAGACTATTGCCTTTGAAATATTCTTTTTAACACATATTCCTAATCATACATCCACCACCTCCACCATTGCCATTCGAACTCTTCATTAGTTTTCTGTTGCCTACCAGCTCTGAGCCTTAGCAGTTGGTCACCTGCCCATTGTGAATGGAAGCCTTTCTGTTTCTCCTCCTGCCCCCTCCTAATATGTGCTTTGGTCCTTTTCTCCTGGCAGAAAGCCACTTCTGAATGTGGTTCCACAGGATATGTGGAGAAAATCACTTGCAGCTTATCTAAGAGGAGTGAGTTCAAAAGGTAAGTGCTTTTTCTCTCCTCTCTCTATTTTTAGATCTCTACCTGAGGACATGCTAATTGATTTGAGAGAGGGGAAGGGAGGGAGGGAGAGAGGAGAGAGAAACATGGGGATCAGTTGCCTCTTGTACACATCCCAACCAGGGCCAAGCTGGCGCTCTATCACCTTATAGGACAATGCTCCAACCAACTAAGCCGCACCAGTTAGGTCTGTTGTGCTTGTTGAAACCTCCTATATCACCTCGTTTGCCCCTGTGACCTTATATAAATAGTCCCACCTCTTCCTTTTGGTCTGGAGGTAGTATGGCATATTGGAAACAGGAAAGGATTTGGAACCAAATTACTTCAACTCAAGTCCCAACTCTACCTCTCAGTGCTGTATTATTGGCCATATTTTCTCATTAGTAAAATTGGTTAATACCTGCTCTGCTTATCTCACCAGAAAATAAGTTAAATGATATATCTGAGTAGGATTTATGCATTGTGAACACAGTAGATTGACTCTGATTTTCTCTTTTCCCCCTTGGATGTATTTTGGTTAGGCTAAAGTAGAAGGGAGATTAGAGGGAGGCCAGACAGCCTTCCCTAGGAATAACTATTTCTTCCTACCCTCAGCTGCCGCTCAGCTCTGATGGAACAACACTTATTCTGGAAATTTGAAGGGGCTGTTGTTGGTGTAGCCTTGGTCTTCGCTTGCCTTGTCATTGTTCGTCAGCGACAGCTGGACAGAAGGGCTCTGGAAAAGGTCCGGAAGCAAATCGAATCCATATAGCTATCTTCCACCCTTTTATATGGGTCTTAAAGACCCTACATCAGACAGAAAGTGGAATGGACTGACTTGTGCCCTGGTATTTTGGGGGTAAAAAAACCCCCCACAAAAACCCTTTCTTCTATCATCCTAATCTAGATCATTAATGAGCAGAATAAAAAGAGTAAAATAGAGTATAAAATACTTTCCTACTGTGATTTGGTTTGGGGGCAGGAAGTTATGAAGGCAGGTAAAGGAGGTAGCAGCTTTAGGCCCTAGTTTGTTAAATACATGTCTTCCTCCTCTTTTACTACTTATTTAAAAGTCGGGGATAACATTTCAGCCACACACACAAAAAAAGTTTTATTTCTCAGTAAAAACTTCTGTTTCCTCTCAATCCTATCTCCAAAGGAGGGAAATCACAGATACACCACAAAAGTATTTGAGGTGCCCCCTCACATAGGCAGACTGGGCCTCAGGGTAGACATCTAGGGCATCCTGATGTGATGCAGACCCCCGAGGCCAGAAAACCCTGAGTGGGAATCCCAGGGGGAAGCAGAGCCACAGGGGAGCCCTGGAGTCCTTACATGGTTGGGTAAAGGGCTAGGAGGTGTTTCCGCTCACATCTCATCTGCATGCAGCACAGTTCTGGCGTGCCCACTGGGGCCTGTCTTCACTCCCATCTTCTCCAGCAGTGTCCTTGTTGATCCATTTGCACTCTTGGCCCCAGGTGGCCCCCCCAATCTGGACTCTACTTCTAGGGTCTCCCAATTTTCTCTTATGTCCTTGTGGGTCAGGATATTTCTGGAAATCACTGTAGGGTGAAGGAAAAAGGGCGGTAGTAGAGTGCTCCCTTGGGTGGGAAATCCTAGACAGGCCGGACCCTTCCTCACACCTCTTGACTACCCTGGAGAACACCCCCAGGTGCTCACCATGTAAGAGGAGTCCTTCCCTGCCCTTGCCTCTCACCTCCATGAGGCTGGTAATCCTCGGACCCAGCTGCTGGTAGACCTTGAAAGGAGCTGAAACTGGGCAGGATGACGAGAGCCAGAGAAAAAAGAAGGATCTGGAAGGAAGCAAGAGGACACTTGGGCTGTGGGGACAATAAAAGAAGGGAGCAGAGGGCAGAGTGAATAGAAGGCAGTTGGAGTCATCAGGGATGGGAAGATTCGTGTGGCTTGGGAGCAGGAGTATCAGGATGGAAGTATGGCAGGGCATGGTGGAGATGAGGGGAGATGGGAAGTAGGCTAACGGTACCAGAATGCAAGTGCTGGTCTGGGCAGCTTTGTTGGAAGTTTGAGTAATGAGCGTCTGCAGCTGGCGGAGCTGAGTCACCAAGGAACTGGGAAAGAAGGATAAGTTAGGTCTGGGAATCAGGGCCCAAGAACGGTGCCCCGTGTGCTGCACACTTCCCCCAACGTGCATGCTATGCTTTCACTCACATGTTGTGCCTCTCCAGCTCCTGGACCTTTTTCTGTAGTTCCTGGTTCTGTGCAGAACAGGCAGCCACCCTACGGAATTTGGAAAGGTAGGACAAGGTTCTGTCATTACGTGAGTCCCTGACCTTGCCTGCCTTAGTAAGGGAGGGGACCCAGACATGGGCCAGAGGAAGCCAGAAATGTAAGTTCAAACATACCTGCCTTCTAGTCCATCAATGTACTCTTTCTTCCGCCGCCGACTGTCCTGAGCTGACTGCTTGTTACGGATTTTCCTCCTGACCTTCTTGAGGACCCTTTCCTCTGCCTGGGGCCCCAAGTTGTATCAGTCCTGGGCTCTTAACACCCCCCACCCCAACTCCGCAATTCTTCTCTGTGATCCTGGCTCCTCAGAGCCATGGTGGAGCCACTGTGCTGAGATTCCCGTTGGGGAAGCATGTTACCTTGGTGAGGGGCAGGTGAGAGGGCAGGGAAATCCCTTCCTGCCCCAGAAGACGCTTCTCCTCATCTGTCAGGAACAAGGTTTGACAGGGTAGCTGGTGGGGGACAAGAGAAGGTGAGAGCGGGCAGAGGGCCATCCCATTTCCAGCACCCAGGCTGCCTCCACTGCATGCCTTCTAGAGTGTGTTTCCCATTTGCACTGAGGAATGACTAACCATGAAATGAAGTGAGGGCATAGACCTTAATTCAGACAGGCTCTGGATCATACTTAAAGGGACTTCCTGAGGCTGAGAAGGGAGAAAGGAGGTGGTTTTGTCATATCCTTTGACCACAGGCTCTGGACCTTAGCACTTCGAGTAAGCTAGGGAGGGCCTGTTCTGTTCCACATCTCCCCAAACCTTAGAGGTATTTGAAGAGAATGTGGGGTAACTTGCTAAGGTAGGGTTTGCTCAATCTTCAGCTGGCAAATGGTTCATTTTCTGCTATTAACTTCTGTTTGGCAGAGTGTGTTACCGAGTCACCTGTCAATCACAAGGAGCAACCGGGGCACTGGCCCTTTCTCCCCAGGGTCTGATTCCCACCTTTCAAACTAAAGCTCTGTCTCCTGTCAGAAAAAGAACTCCTTAAGAGCAACCAGACTGAGCAATTTCTCATAACAAAGTATGTGGGAAGGGAAGCATTTTCTCAGTCTGTTGACATCTTGCTTACAGTCATATCCTCTGTGTGGCTCAAATAAATTATAAAAATTCTCAAAAAAAAAAAGTGTGGGGAGGGTACATAGTGTCTGATTAATGTGAGCACAACTGAGTGACTTGCCTTTCTAATTTTTTCTTGAAAGATTTATGCTTCACTTTGTGACAGGAATTTGCTTTTGCTTCCTGGTAGTCTTTGGCTTTTAGCTAAATCATTTCTTCATCTCTGCCTTTTTCTGATGTTCCCTTCTTGCTTCTGTGACTATGAGAGGGGTGTCCCTCCCAATCCACCTGATCAAAATCTGTGAGAATGGGCCTAGAAGGTTTTATTTTAAAAAACAAACCACAAATTTCCCAGTGTTTTAAGGTCCTCGACCCAAGATTTTAAGATGCCTGGCTTGGGCTTGGCTACTGGTCTAGCTTCAACCACAGATTTTCAAGGAGGCTAAAACCTATTCCTTGCCTTTTGCACACAAGTTTTCTCCAGAATAAAGGCAGGGTCCCCTCCTCACCGCACTGGAGGAACCAGACCATAGCCTTGAGAAGTTATCTGATCTGCCTGCTGGATAATTGCTCCAGTGGAAATTTCTCCTCTTACACTCTGTGCCCAGTAATCAGTTGGATTCTCAGGCGGCCTGTCTCATTACTGTGCCCTGACCCAAGACTGAGACAATAGCTCAGCAAACAATGTACACAAGGTTTGGACTTTCTCCCTTAGCCCTATCCGTGGATTCCCTCACCCAACCTTAATTGAGTCATCACCACCTTACCCCCAAGTGCTTGTCTCCCTTGTTCTTTCCTCCTTTTAAATTGCCATGTCTCCTTGGCTTTCAGGCCCGATGCCACAAAAATTAGGCCAAAGACAGTCAGCATCAGTTTTCCCCTCCCATACTCCCATCTGTGTGGGTATATGTCTGTGTATCAAGGAGGACTGGATCATGCCAACCCCAAGACTCACCAGGGTCGCAGGAAGCACTGGGTTTACAGTGCCTGTTCTGGGCAGGATGTGGGCATTACCATCAAGGGGCAGCTCACTGACCATGCAGGCATCATGCACCGTAAGTGGCGGGCTCCACTGATCTGAGGGAGACATAGGTGGCTGGGAGAAAGGAGCAGCAGGGCCTGGGTAGTGGCACATATTGGGGAAGCCCCCTTAATCCCAGGGCTAGGGCTGGATCTGAAGGGTCATTGTCCCCTTGCCACAGAACACTACTGACCTAGCTGAATGGAAATGAACCCTACAGCTGGCCCAGCTTCCTCCTGCATCTTCTCCAAGACCCGTGGCTCATAAACAACCTCATAGAAGGCAGGGGAACTGGGTGCCTTAGGGACAGGGGGACTGTCTGGATGACCAGGGTCCTCAGAGTTTCCACTGTCACTCGCAGGAGATGCTTCTGAGCGGTACACTTCATTGGGATCAATGAAAAGCCTCAGGAAATCTTCAGGCTCACTCTCTTGAAGTCCCTACATTAGAAGAGGGTATATATGTATATTTAGAAGGAAGAATTCTGGAAGTTCTTCCTGACATCAAACCTAGATTCTTCATGCTTCAATTTCAGTCCTTTCTGTCCTTGGGGATAGTTACAGTTAATGTCTATTTTAGGGGTACTCTCTTCAGACCTCTTTCCAAGTATAGGCTGAAGCCTCTTGGGCTTATCAGTTGTGTTTCAACCCACCCCTACTTCCACTCAGCACACTCACACAGACATGGCCCCCACTGGACTCGCAGTTTTGCTGGCCCTGTTCTTGTAGCATAGCCACTGGGACGTCTGGAGGTGGACAGTGGTGCCCCAGCTCCAGGAAGGATCCTGTTAAGACATCATCTGGGGGTTCCAGCCACAAGTCCAGGAGGTCGGGGGTTCCGAAATCCATCCTGCAGGGAGGCATGTGGGGAGGGAGAGGTGCAGGGAGATGATGACTACCCCCAAGACACACAGACACAGACACACACGCACGCATGCACGCACTGCATCTGGGTTCCTCTTGGTTCCCCTTGCTCCCTCTTCCATTACCCTCCTTCCTCACCTATGCAGGCCCTCACCTGTTACCCGGAGATCTCTCCTCGTCTTTATCTCCGTGGTTCCGATGAACAGGCCCCCGGGTTTTTATCTGTTCCGAAGAGTCCAGCCCCGCCAAGCCTGCCTAGCCCGCAGACCGACCCAAACAGTGCACCTTTTCTTCCCTCCAGGATCTTGCATCCTGGACCTGCCCAGCCAAGCCCCGCCCCCAGCCTTACACTAAGAAAGTGGGTTGCACCTTGTCGGGAACCACGGTAGGGACATTGATTCTGGGAGCAGGGGGTTATGAGGCTGAGCGTCCACAAACCAGACATGAGGAAAACAGGCACCTTCGCCCTTTCTTAGTTTTTCCTAGCCATAGCAAATCTTCCTGAGGTGGCTTCTCTGGGAAGGCCAGAGATGGCTCTGACTGGAGCACAGGATATTTGAGTGACTGTTCTCTGGCCATCAATTCAGTACGAAGGAGACCAAGGCAGGGTTGGAAACAAAGGAGGAGAGTCAACTGGGTTGCCAAGATTTACGGTGGATCCCCTCCCCCAGGCTGTGGCTCTCATCCCACGCTGGAGTCTGACAGGAAACTGAACGCGTAGGGTTTTGACGGGCAGGGCATTGAGCGAATGGAATTACTCTCTCGAGGCCGGTTCCGCCGTAACTGGTCAGAATTGGCTGTCAGAGAAGGAGTAAGGCCAATGAGGCCCAGGCACTTATTTGCCCCGCGGGGATTGGGTTCTGCGGTACCAAAGAGCCGGCTAAAAGCCAGAAGAACTGCAAGGAAGGGGGAAAATTCAGAGAATGTGGGCAATGGCTTGGTTTGGTTTCGCCTGCCCTGTCACTCGTAAGCTCAGGTTATTACCCGGGCGGGGAGTAAATGCCCTGTTAGCCTAAGTTAAGTGACAGAACTTTGACTCAGCCGGCGGAAAGTCGCGCAATCGCGGGGTGTCAAAATCCGTAATCCGTGTATTGATGAAGACCATCAGTAACACACAGGACTGTTAACTAACGGAGGGTGAGAGTCTGGAAAACTACAAAACGCTAAAAATCCTTAGAGTTTGGTGTAGTAAAAATCCTAGGGTTTGGTATCTTATTGTTTGCGTATAATTACCAACAAAAGTATGTGTCCTGCATTTGTATAGTATGCAAAATATTTTCATTGTTCTCTCATTTAATCCACAACAGCTCTGAGGTAGACAGGCCAGGAAATGTTTTACTAATTCTAATTCTGCCGATGAGGAGATAAAGATCATGACTGAAATGTAGTAATACCAAAACTCAGGATTTTTTTCCCCTCCTCGGTCTAGTGACTGATGACCTAAGAATTCTTTAAAAAAAAAAACAAACACAACTTTATTTTTTAGACAGAGGGGAAGGGAGGGAGAAAGAAAGGGAGAGAAACATCAATGTGTGGTTGCTTCTCCAGCGTCCCCTCTTGGGACCTGGCCCACAACCCAGGCATGTGCCCTGCCTGGGAATCGAACCAGAGACTCTTTGGTTCACAGGCTGACACTCAATCCCCTGAACCACACCAGCCAGGGCTGATTAATGTATCTCGATGTATCTCTCACATATTAATGCTTCTCTCCCTTTCTTTCTCCCTCCCTTCCCCTCTGTCTAAAAAATAAATGAAATCTTAAAAAAAAAAAAAAAAAGAACTGGAAGGAAACTCTGACATCGTCTGCTAGTCCACCTTCTCTCTTCCACTGGATTTATCAAGCTCCTGGAAAGGAAAATGACTTGCCTAAGATCACATACCAAATTAAGTTAGAGCTGGGTCTAGTACTCAGGTGTCCTAGCTCCCAGTCCATGTTACTTCTTAATGTTACGGATTATCAATAATCTTAGAAGCATAATTTGCCACAGACAAACCATAGCATGAATAATATTCCCTTAAATAAGCTGGAGTTGCTTCTAATAGTAATTTTTATCTTTTAATTAAGAGCTTGAGCCCTGACTGATGTAGCTCAACTGGTTGATTGTCCTTTTGCAAAGTGAAAGGTTACTGGTTTGATTCCTGGTCAGAGCACATGCCTGGGTTGCCGATAGATCCCCAGTTGGGGCGTGTGCAAGAGGCAACCAATCAATGCTTCTCTCCTACTCATTCTCCGTTGCCCTCTGTCTAAAAATAAAAATAAAAAAATAAAATAAAACCCCTTGAAATAGTGATGATTATTATTAAATGATGGGACACTAGTACCCCATGTCACTTACATCCTGATCTTAGGGGGTGTATGATTCCTTTCTCCTAGATTACCTTCCTCAAGAAATCTTCACATTCCTTTTTTCTTAAGGAAGTTGCTGGCCTTTGGAAGGGTAAAGCCAGAGCCATTTGCTATCATGACACCACTTGCTGAGCAAGCCTGTGACCTTACTAATGACTCCCATTTTACTCTTCTGAGCTTGTACCCAGGACTGGAGACTACTGGAAAGCAAGAACAGAACTAATCACTGCCTACAGCCACAGGCAGAAAATAACATTGGAAAAAACTGCAGCCTCAAGTTAACAATGTCCCCAACAGCCCAGGGGCCACACCACAGCAACCCTCTGCCCTTATTTTATTTTTTAAGATGTTATTTATTTATTTTTAGAGAGAGGGAAAGGGAGAAAAAGAGGGAGAGACAACAATGTGTGGTTGCCTCTTGTGCACCCCTTACTGGGGACCTGGCCTGCAACCCAGGCATGTTCCCTGGCTGGGAATGGAACCAGGGACCCTTTGGTTCACAGGCTGGCGCTCAATCCACTAAACCACACCAGCCAGGGCTCCAGCCTTTTTTAACCCAATTATAATCCAATGGACACTCAAAGCCCCTGCACCTCAATGCTGGTGTATCTCTCTATGCCATGCCCCTCTCCTTTCTAGGAGAGTAAATACAAACTTTATTCACTACATTTTCTTCTCTTTGTGAATTCTTTCACAGCCTGCGTCACCGACCACTCTAACAACACTGATTTCCAAAGCCTTATCAAAGGCATCACTCTGTCCCTTCTTTAGGTAATGAGGCCTTTTCATCTTGCAAAAAATAAGTTTAGCCCCCTTCTTTATTTTCTTTCTTTGTTCCCTACTCTCCCATGAGGCTAGAAGAGGATTCTGATAACACAGGGATGTGGGCCAAGAGGATCCAGGCTAAGAAAACAGTGAAGGTCCTCGGTTGAAAATACTTTGACCCATTCAAGGAACAGAAAACAGCCAAGAAGTCCTAAAAGAGGAATGCTTTCTTTTCTTTGGCGCCAGGGTGCACGGAAGGGATCCAGGCAGACATAGAGAAGTAAGGCGGAAGATTCGGGACTGTGGGGTGTGTATAGGACACCAGTCATGTCCGCCCAGGTTTCTAGCTTCCTCTTTTAAAATCTCTAAATATCAAAGCCTCTGTTGAACAGCCACCTCGCGCCAACCAGAACACCGCAGGGGCCCAGGCCATCTGCCCCTAGATCTTCTCTCTAGCCCCTTTCCCTGCTCTTGCGCATTCTCCCATCGTCTCCGCCACCACCCAGCTTCGGATTCCCGTCTCTGACTGGCCCTGGATCACGTCACTCCTTGTCTGGACCCGCCCCCAGGAGCTGTCATTGGCCGCGAGGGGAAGGATTCGTGGCAGCTGAGGTCCCGGGAGGAGGAGCGCTGGGGAGGGGGGCGGGAATTCCCGACTGGAGGCCGGAACTCAGCGGGTGCCATGTAGTGAGACCCTCGCGAGGTGAGTGCGGACCTTATGGGAGCGGGATTCAGGTCGACCGCCCCGGCCTCCTGGGGCACCTAGGAGCTGGATTTTAGGCTCTCACATTTTTTTTGCCTTCCGAGACTCTGGCGGTCGCGGACCCCGCCTACCGAAGCCTTGACTTCCAGACACCGCCCTCAGTTGTTTTCAGTCGGTCCCGGGACCTCCGACCCCTAGGGCCCTTTTTTGGTCATCTACCCCGATGTCCCAACTTGTGGCCTGAAGTGGTCTCTCTCTGCTATCGGGGGGATGGCGCTGGGAAAACGGGGGCCGGAGAGGGATCCAGCACGCAAGCTCTCCCTGTTCATGTGGTCCACGAAGCTACCCGCACGACATCACTGCACAACTCCCAGTCCCCCTTAGCGTCTTCTGTTCCTTTCCAGAAGGGGGCCTGGCCTCCGCTTTTCTTACAGGACCCCAGCTCTCTAGTTCTCTGGGAGCTCCAGATGAAAGGGTAATGAGATATCTATACAGTCCTTGCAGGGCCCCTGAATAAGTCATTTGGAAGGGATAACGTATGGGGGGGAAGAGGAATGTTCCCAGTACAGGAGTGGGTGGTGGATGAGTCACACTGGGTTGGGGAAGGTCAGAAAGTGTCTGGTATGAGGGAGCTGCACTTTGCTGACCAGTCTTTCCCTTTCTTGGTCCCATCTTTCCTTATGTGACCATTTCCCCGACTCACTCTGTGTTCCTAGATCTGAGAGTGACTGGAGCAGCCACAGCCACCATGGGGCCCTGGGGAGAGCCAGAGCTCCTGGTGTGGCGCCCAGAAGCAGTAGCCTCGGAGCCCCCAGTGCCAGTGGGACTGGAGGTGAAGTTGGGAGCCCTGGTGCTCCTGCTGGTGCTCACTCTCATCTGCAGTCTGGTGCCCATCTGTGTGCTCCGCCAGCCAGGAGCTAACCCAGAAGCCGCAGGTAAGGTTCTCCTTTTCCCTGCTGCAGTGGATGCTTGGGGTACTGAAGGCTCTGGCACGAGGAAGGTGACCTAAGGAGGGGAGGCAGGAATGACCATTGCTTGGGTTGGGTTAGTAGGGCCTGGAGGGGGTTCATTTACTTATTTCCCTCTGTGCTTTACTCCTGCTCAGCCTCCCGCCAAAGAGTCCTGAGCCTAGTAAGCTGCTTTGCGGGGGGTGTGTTTCTGGCTACCTGTCTCCTGGACCTGCTACCAGACTACCTGTCTGCCATAGATGAGGCCCTGGCAGCCCTGCATGTGACGGTGAGCACTGGCTGGCTGCATATGACCCTGTGCCCTGTGTATGTGACTGTAGTCTGTTGCATACCTCTAGGAGAGGTGGTTTGTATGGATCTGTTCCAGTGTCACTTCATGACTGTGGGGAAGGCTCTTGGATGTGACCCTATGAATTATGATTTTTAGTTACAGGGCATAACTTTTTGTGGGTTCCTCCTCAGTCCCTATGTGACCACTATGTACCCTCTGAAACAGTGTGAGGAACCGTATTAACAGGTGTGTGACCTACTCTGGGTTTCTCAGTTTCAGCTTTAAAGAAGTTAACAGCACTCCAACAATCATCTTTACCCTTTTACCACTTTCCTGAAGGATTGGAGAAAGAGGTCCCTACAGGCCTGGGAAGAGTAGGAGACAATCCCTACTTGGTCAGCTTGGTGTTGCTGACCAAAAAGGCCCAAATAAGTTGGATATGGGGAAGATCAAGTTCAAAGCATAGGAAAATCTCATAGGAAAAACTGAGGTACTTGGGTAGTGGTGCAAAGACAGCACCCTGGGCTCTTCCTCCAGTTCCCCAAGACCAAGGAAGTAATATTGGATATGACCTGTGTGTCTGTGACTGAGTGACCTGTGTCTTCGTGTGACTGTGTGTAAGTCTGAATGCCCCTGCAACAGTGTATGGCTCTGTGCATGAGCATTTGGGGAAGTGGGCCAATGTGTGACTGTTTGTATGCCTACATGTGATACTTTCTGTATGTCTACGTCAGTGACTCTGAACTGGGGGTGGTTTTATTGTCCCCCCAAAACATTTGATAATGTCTGGAACATTGTCACAGCTTAGGGAGGGAGGGCATTGCATTGTTACTGGCATCTGATGGGTAGAAGCTAGAGAGGCTCTGCACAGGACAGCCCTCCACAACAAAGTATTATCTAGCCTCAGATGTTAACAGTGCCAAAGTTGAGAAACCTTGGTCTATGTGTAACACTGACACCAGAATCTGTGTGATTGTGTATCATTCTGTGTCTATCACCAAGTGACTCTGTATCTGTGAGCACAAGTAGCCCTGTGTGTGTGTGACCCCATGTCTATGTAACTGGGACTCCACTTGGCTCTGCATGTGACTCCTCTTCCCCATATTTGGTCCATCTCCTGAACTCCTTTCTGCCTCCTCTGCCCGTAGCTCCAGTTCCCCCTACAAGAGTTCATCTTGGCCATGGGCTTCTTCCTGGTCCTGGTGATGGAGCAGATCACGCTGGCTTATAAGGAGCAGTCAGTGCCACCACCTCGAGAGGAGACAAGGGCGCTGCTGGGAACAGTGAATGGTGGGCCACAGCACTGGCATGATGGGCCAGGTGTCCCACAGGCAAGCGGAACTCTGGCAGCCCCCTCAGCCCTGCGTGCCTGTGTACTGGTCTTCTCCCTGGCCCTGCACTCGGTGTTTGAGGGGCTGGCAGTAGGGCTTCAGCGAGACCGGGCTCGGGCCATGGAGCTGTGCCTGGCTTTGCTGCTCCATAAGGGTATTCTGGCAGTCAGCTTGTCCCTGCGGCTGCTGCAGAGCCACCTGAGAGCAAAGGTGGTGGCTGGCTGTGGGATTCTCTTCTCATGCATGACACCTCTGGGCATAGGGCTGGGTGCAGCTCTAGCAGAGTCAGCTGGACCACTCCACCAGCTGGCCCAGTCTGTATTGGAGGGCATGGCGGCTGGCACCTTTCTCTATATCACCTTCCTGGAAATCCTGCCCCAGGAGCTGGCCACTTCTGAGCAGAGGATCCTCAAGGTCATTCTGCTCCTATCAGGCTTTGCCCTACTTACTGGTCTGCTCTTCATCCAAATCTAGGAGGCCTCAAGAGGGGCAGGGGAGATTGGGTACCAGGTGCCCTTAACCCACACCTCCCCTCCTCAGGAATGGGGAAGGGAAGTATTGAGGACCAACAAGTTCTCCGAAAGGTGGGGATGGAGCCTTTGGTACTTACTACCCGGCCAATGAGAGGGAAGTGGGCTGACAAGAGCCTGACCCTCGGGCCCAAGGGACAAGGCATGGTCAAGTCACTAGAGAAATGATCAAGGGATATAGCATTAGAGAAGACACCGAATTTTGGAATCAGGCAGACACTCACTACACAGGGACAAGCTGACACTGGGGAGGCTGGAGGTGGGTACCCAGATGCTATGGGATAGAAGTAGAGAGGGCAAAAGTCCAGAGTCAGCAGTTTTGTTTTTAGCCCATTTCAGCCCTCTGTAATTTGGAGTGAACCCCTCCTACTTTTCTTAGCTCCTACTCTCACATCTATCATCCTCTACCCTTCTCCCAAGATATTAGTGCCAAGACACATCCTGCCAGTTTTGGTACCTTCTCTGGCTTCTCCAGTCTGCTCACACTATTTTTAAAGTGCCAAATAAAATGCCCTCCGTCTCTCTCAAAGCACAGTAATGCACTGAGCCCTGCCTGGCACCTCAGTGAAAGGGGCCCCCTTGCTCCGAATTTTAGTCCCGTATCCTGGGGTGGAGCAGAAATGTTTGCTGAGTTGTGGGGGGAGGGTTGACAGATCTGCGGGCCTCTACCACTGCTGCACCCTAGGTATACCGAACATGGACAAGGTGCCCCATACCCAGATGATAAATACTGAGCTGCCAAAAATTTTTTTACCATAGGAGCCCAAGGGGGAAGGGGAATATTCACCCCCAGGGTTATTTTTTGGGAAGTTAGGGTTGTGCACAGGGCCATAGTCTCTAGAATCTATTTTACTTACTGATCTGTTTTGGGACATGTTACCCAAATAAAAGATGTTTCTCTATGTTTGTACAGAATCGGATTCATTGTGTATTGGGAAAGTTGTGGGCATGTGGCCAGCCTGAGGAGGCCTGAGTCCCAGATGTTTACAGTTGTTTTAGTAACATCCCTGGTCTCATTTTCATTCGGGTCTTTCTCGTCCCCTTCCCTGAAGATAACATTTTCCCTCTTTTGTCTATTCCTTCTCTCCCTGTCCCCACCCCTTCCCCTTCCTCTGTTTTTTCCTTTCTTTGAATCCTTCTGCCCTTCGCGTTCCTAGGCTCCGGACCAATTTAGAACTACTTTTCCCAGTTTGCTGCGCGCAGGGAGGAGCCGAGTGGGAGGAGCAAAGCCCCCAGTTCCCCTTGTCAACAGGGCTGCTGGGAATTGGTGTCCGTTTCCTTTCCGTACTGCGTGGTTGGATCTGTGAGAGGGTCACGTAAACAAACTACAATTCCCGGAAGCCCCCGCGCGCTACAGGTCAGGGCTAGGCTGGGGCCGGGTTCGCGGTGCTAGCTGTGACGGCGGCGGCGGCGGCGGCGGCGGCTACGGCTGGGAGACCCGGGCGGGAGCCCGCGGCACAGGCCGTGGCTTGTGCTGGGAGGGTGGCGGGGAGGGACGGAGGAGGAAGATGGCGACGTCGGGGGCGAACGGGCCTGGCTCGGCCACGGCGTCAGCTTCCAATCCGCGCAAGTTTAGTGAGAAGATCGCGCTGCAGAAGCAGCGTCAGGCCGAAGAGACGGCGGCCTTCGAGGAGGTGATGATGGACATCGGCTCCACCCGGGTGAGGGGCCGCGCCGGGGACCCAAGCGGAGCAGTTTCGGAGGGGGAGCCCAGAGGCGGGGCGGGGGTGGAAGCCGCAGCTATAGAGGCGGAACGGGGCAGCGGCTGCGGACGCCGCCGTCTGGGAAGCGCGGGGTGAGGGCCGAGGGCCGAGGGCCGAGAGGCAGGAAGACGGATTCTGTGGGGGGAGGCCAGAGCACCACAGAGGTTGGGAGTTTGGGAACGACTAGGGGGCAACTGAGGCGTGGGCGGAGATTGGAGACAGTTCCCTGGAACCCGGCGGAAGTCGGAGGTGGGTGGTCCTTGTGCATCCCTGATTGAGTCCTTTCGGAGATTCTACTGAAGCATCACCTTGTTGGGTTATGGGGTGGGGGTGGGGTGGGGGGAGCGTCTGCTTGCCCTACTCTGTCTTCTCTGAGTTGGTAATCTCTTCCAGTCTGGTTCCTGTGCCCTCTTGGCCGCTGTCGGCACTTAAGTTCCTCTGGGAAAGGGCCCCTTGAGTGAACAGCAGCGCTGGGTATAGTGGGGCAGGAAGTCCCCTCCTGCGTCCCGTCCCTTTGCTTCCTTTTTCAAATACTTCTTGTGGTTTCCTGACGTGAATAAAGGTGAGGTCCATTGCTCACAAACTGGTGCTTGGTGTTTTGCCGTGGTTGTCTCCTTGGGAGAGAGGTAGGGCTTTGAATCCCGAAAGCGGGAACCAGTGGCTATAAGTTGTGTGAGACCCGACTGAACTTTCTGGGGAGATGGCTGCTGTGTGTAGGTCACTGATGCGTTGGTTTGGAGGGTCCTCTATGTGTAGGGAATGTTAATTTCCAGGAAGCTCCAGAGAGAAGGCATCCTGGCAGAGTTGCCTCCGAAAGCCCTCTGGCCTTAATTTCTTGCTACCAGGACTGGATGTCTGAGGAACTGAGGGGTGAGAGTTTGCCCAGCTGGTGTGCAGTCCTAACGTAGGGAGGCATTGTTCTCAAAACGGCAGGTGAAGAGGATATTGCAGGGATTCCTCCATGACAGGCAGTTAGAATTTAAGGGGGGATGGAACATAAATACCACATTTCAAAGCTCTTTTTCCTGGTTTGACTGTAACTGCATCTGTCTATGACTGACTGTGGTTGTATTTTTGTGTGTTTCCCTTGACTCTGTTAGTCTTTTTTATGTTTATTTCCCCTTTTAGTCTCTAGAGACCATGTGTCCTAGTTTGTGGGAGATAGAACAGAGAGTTAGGTGGGGAAGCAAATCTTGTGTGTCTGTGTGTGTTTGTGCCTAACTGCTACGATCTAACTGTTGACTGCTCCCCTTTAGGAGCTTACGATCATGGGTGGGGCATAGGCAAGAAGGTGGGCGAGAGGCTGATCTCCAGCTGACATCTCGAGGCCCTGCCTCTAGACTGTGACTCCAGTAGAGGCATGGTGGGCTCTTAGGGCTGTATGTGCAAACAGAGAAAGGCTGTGAGAACCTCAAAGCTGGGCCGTCTGTTTTTGTCGTGTGTTGGTCTGTTCAAAGACCCCCTCCACCTGCCTTGCTCCTGCTGGGTCACTTCACTGTTGCACGTAAAAATGTAGTAGGCATCCTTGGCCAGAGCCTGGGAAACCAGCCTCTGGTGCTTAGCCTTTATTTGGCTAGCTGGGAGGGCTCATCTGAGGTAGATGTGGCCATGGGGGCCTATACGGCTATGAGGCTAGGGTTGTCATACATACGCATGTTATTAGCAGCCCTGAAGTGGTCCAAAGGTGAGCACAGTGCCCACTGAATTCACTGGGCTGACCTGGAACAGAAAGTTAGTTCTGAGGTTAGCCTATGCGCAACAGAATGTACTGGAAGCTCTCAGAATTTATCCCTCATTAGCTCCCTGGGTCTCTTTATTTAGCTGGTGACAGTGGCTAAGTCTCAGAAGTAGGTGCTTACCTCTCACAGAGGGACATGAGATCTGTAGACAGGGTAAAACCATGCCAGGCGGAGGAATGTGGTGTTTCACCCTGGTGCTAGACTTACCTCCCCAAAGGGGATGAGGCTAGGAAGGTGGTTCTGGCCAAGACTGGAGTGGGCTACTGTTCCCTCTCCCACTCCCATCCTCCAGGCTTTCCTGCCCATTCAGGGGCCTTACAACCAAGTAGAAGAGTGTGCCTTGGTTTTGGCCCTCTTTTTCCAGCTATAAGAGCCATCATTCCTTAGGTGTTCTAGTTTGGGAGGTGCAGGCTCTGTGTAGCCTTCTTGAGGCTGGGCAAGTGGCAGAGCCCAGAAGCCTGTGCCCCTTGCCTCTCCTGGGGGCAGGAAAGAGGCTGGTAGCAGTGGTTCTGTGGCATCCACCTGTGGCCTTTCCCTCATTTTCCAGTCACTCCAGGACACATCTGGAAGCAAAAGCATAGGTACCTAGTTGTCACCCCTTCCCAGGAGTTAAACCATGTGACTAGCCTGGGGGCTCCTGGCAGCCCTGCAGGGACTCTGTTTAGACTGATGACAGCTGGGACAGGCCCTGAACAGAGTGTCAGGCTTGTCGGGGTCTGTGTGTGGCAGAGCGATGCCAGGCAGTAGTGATAGCACTGATAAGGGTAGCCTGCAGAAGAGCAAGGGTAGATTGTTTGCACCAAGCCTCAGTGGAGCTTTCTCCCAGCACTATTGTTTGTTTTCTGTTTTTCTTTTCTTTTTTTTTCTTCTGGCAGATCTCTTAAAAATAGCAGCAATAGTAGCATATACTAGAGACAGGAATGGCAAAGATGGCCAAAGAATAGGAACAGTGCTCAGCCCCTGCTCCCTGACATCCTCATTTTGCCCTTCATGTCTCAGTTACAGGCCCAAAAACTGCGACTGGCATACACGAGGAACTCTCATTACGGTGGTTCTCTGCCAAACGTAAACCAGATTGGCTGTGGCCTGGCTGAGTTTCAGGTGAGTGGACACCAGCCTCAGTAGAGTGCAGGCTCTTCGGCAGCTTCCCCATTAACTCACCTGTGTGTTTTGGCAGAGCCCCCTCCACTCACCTTTGGATTCATCCCGAAGCACTCGGCACCATGGGCTGGTGGAACGGGTGCAGCGAGATCCCCGAAGAATGGTGTCCCCACTCCGCCGCTACCCCCGCCACATATCCTTCACAGAGGGTTTGGGGAGTTTGGAGGTGGTGGGTTGGGGTCCCTTAGGAACTCATGGTGGGAACGGATTTTAGGTGTCCAGTCCCGTCCTTCTCCAGGAGCTCTCCTTTGCCCAGCCTCTCAGAAAAGTGACCATTGGCCCATGTGTCAGCCCTGGCTCCTGTACAAGGGAGTGGCTGCTCCTGAGGTTGTGCCCTCTGTCTCTGGCTGGCTGTGACTGTCCTTATGCAGCTTGCTCTTTGCTGCCAGAGACAGGGCTCTCTGATATTTCTTCTGCCTAAGGGGGTTTGGTTCCCTCTTCACATTTCTGTCCTTAGCTTTCAACCTCAGAGACCACCACAGATGTGTCTCCCTAAGCCCTGCGTAGATAGTCTCCTATATTTTTCCACCCCTGCTGGTCCTCACTCTCTTCTCTTCCATTCTCTGACCTGATTGTTGTTCCTTGTCAAGGAGAAAGAAGGTATTTATTTCCTGAAACAACTCATCTGCTGCCTCCATTATTCCTCTCTCATCTGGTCTCTAGCCCATCCAACCTCTCCTCACTTTTTACCTTAACTGGTGCTGTTCACATTGACAGCTCTCCCTACAGTCCTGCCTACTTATCTCCTCCCCCGGAGTCCAGCTGGCGGAGGTCAGTGTCCAGGGCAGCCAGGATCTCCTGCCCACTCTCTGACATGTCTCTGGAGGGAGCTTATGTTGGGGTTGGGCCTGCTGGGCTAGGCTTTCAGCAGTACCTTCTTTTCTAAGGGCACGGCTGGAAGGGGTGAGGGCAGGTGAAGTAGGTGGGTCAGAGTCCAGTCTTGGCCATATTGACACGGGTGGCCAAGCCTCCCATTCCAAGCAGGGCAGGACCAATGGTAACTGTAGCTAGCCGGGGTGTGTATGTAAGGGGGAAGGGAAGGTGGCTGCCTCCTGTCAAGAGCGGGGGCCAGATACAGCCTTCTGGCACTCCGAGACTGGAGCCCTTCCTGTGTCTATCTCACTTCTAATACTCATACCTAGCAGAGTTGCTGGGCCCCAAGATTCCCACTTAGCTTGTTGTGGCAGACAGACGTTGGGATTTTCCAGATCTAGAGCAGTGATTTTCAACCTTATTCATTTAATGTCACGCATAAACTAATTACTAAAATTCTGTGGCACACCAAAAAGTGTATTAAATTTTTTGCCAATCTGGAAAAAAAAAGAGATAGGTATAATTTTGATTGATTTACAATAATAATAATAGTAATAGTAATTACCTACCCTTTTTGCTCCAAAATGACTTTTTAAAAAATCAGGTGCCTGTACTTGTACGTAACGATTTCTGGTGCAAAGAATTTACCAGTCAGCCCTGGCTGGTATGTCTCAGTGGATTGAGTGCTGGCCTGCGAACAAAAGAGCTGCTCGTTCTATTCCCATTGAGGGCACAGGCCTGGGTTCCAGGCCAGGTCTCCAGTAGGGGGTGCTTGAGAGGCAACCACACATTGATATTTCTCTCCCTCTCTTTCCCTCTCCCTTCCCCTCTCTAAAAATAAATAAAAATCTTAAAAAAAAATTAAGTCATCAGACGCAATCTTATTATGTGACATCACCAATAGAATGCACCTCTATTATATGACCTATATATTTGTGGTTCAAGACAGGGCATTCACACCAGATGGCTATTGTGTTGACTCTTGTCATTTTTTTACCTGATAATCCAAGGGAAAAGAGGTCCGTGCCCTTGACTAAATAGTCAGGTATTGCATGTTTTAAAAATTCTTGTGGCACACTGGTTGAAAATCACTGTCCTGATTGATTGGAGAGGGTTCACGGGTCACAGATATTAGAAGAACCAGAAAGAAAAGAGGCATGGTTCTGGGTGCCTAGCCCTCTTTACCGCCACGTTGGCTGCCCCACATTTTCCAACTCCCATGCCTGCCTTCCTGTCCAGTTGCTGGCCTTCCTCCTTGTGACTTTGTTTTTCATCCCAGGACAATGCCCTGGGGCAATTTCCCTGCAGAGAAGGGGCAGTTGTTTCGACTACCATCTGCACTCAACAGGTGATGACCCTTGAGCGTTCTTTAGTCCACATCTTTTATTTGTACTTTTTGGCCCCTACCTTATTCCAGCCCAGCTAGTGTTTTTCCCTGCTGAGGAGGACACAGGGGCCAGGAAGGCCGTCACTGGTGCCAGCTGATCTCTGTTCCCTTCACAGGACAAGCTCTGATTCTGCCCTTCACACGAGTGTGATGAACCCCAACCCTCAGGACACTTATCCAGGTCCTGTACCTCCCAGTGTCCTGCCCGGCCGCCGTGGAGGTAAGTGGCCATATCCCAAGGTATGGTGTAGCCATGGGGCTTTGGTGTGAAGCAGGTAAGCAGCAGGCACTGCAGCCACTCCACTGCATCCATTGCAGGTTACCTGGATGGTGAAATGGACTCCAAAGGTATATGTTTCTCGCCACTCATGGGTACTGAATGCCAGAGGATTTCTGGGCCAGTGCTGTGGGCTTTGCTCAGGGACAGGGAGCGGGACTCCCTCCCGCCTGCCTCTGCTTCCTGTCCTACCTTACTGGCTCCTTCTGCAACCCTCCACTCACCAGTATTTCTCTTTTAAGTCCCTGCTATTGAGGAGCACTTACTAGATGACAAGCATTTGCTGAAGCCCTGGGATGCTAAGAAGGTAGATATGGCCCACTATCCCTCTCCTTTCCATGGGCAGGTCTTCCAGGGGCCTCCAAAGAACACTGTCCTCATTCTTCTCTTTCTTTGTTCTCTCCTCAGCTGTCCTCATCCTCTTCCCGACCTCGGTCCTGTGAAGTACCTGGAATTAAGTAAGTATCTCTTTGATGGTGGCTGAAGGAATGGGGAAGGGAAGTAAAGGGAAATGTGGGAAGTCAATCTCTGCTCCTCCCTGACTGGCCCACCAATTGTGTCTTTCTTGTCCGCTCCTCCCCCCAGCATCTTTCCGTCTCCTGACCAGCCTGCCAGTGTGCCTGTCCTCCCACCTGCCATGAACACGGGAGGCTCCCTGCCTGACCTCACCAACCTGCACTTCCCTCCACCACTGCCCACGCCCCTGGATCCAGAGGAGACAGCCTACCCCAGCCTGAGTGGGGGCAACAGTACCTCCAATTTAACCCATACCATGACCCACCTGGGCATCAGTGGAGGCCTGGGCCTAGGCCTAGGCTATGATGCACCAGGTGAGTGGCTGTGCTAACTACATCCAGGGTGCTGCCTGGCTGGACGGGCGAAGGGGTTGAGGGGTGCTGGAGCTCCAGTGACTACCCATATAAGCCTGTCACCTGTCCAGACCAGGTTTTCCTCATTGTACTTTTCTGCCAGTGAGAACTGGTAGGTATGGCTTTTCCAAGAAAGAAGTTGGAGAGCAACCCCAAAGTGGGCAAGGCCAGCCTCACTGCCAGGGACAGTGTAGGGAGGACATTGTGTTGCCACTTCCATAGTCTGGTCACTGCTACCATTCTGGGCAGAAAGGGGCCCAGTTCCCATCAGTAATGTTGGCATCTCTGGTTTTTTGTCTGTGCCTGCAGGACTTCATTCACCTCTCAGCCATCCATCCTTGCAATCCTCCCTAAGCAATCCCAACCTTCAGGCGTCCCTAAGCAGTCCTCAGCCCCAGCTCCAGGGCTCCCACAGTCACCCCTCACTGCCTGCTTCCTCCTTGGCCCGCCATGCACTGCCCACCACCTCCCTGGGTCATCCCTCACTCAGTGCCCCAGCCCTCTCCTCCTCCTCGTCCTCCTCCTCTGCTTCATCTCCTGTGCTGGGTGTCCCCCCTTACCCAGCTTCTACCCCTGGGACCTCCCCCCGCCACCGCCGTGTACCCCTCAGCCCCCTGAGTTTGCCCGCGGGCCCAGCCGACGCCAGAAGGTCCCAACAGCAGCTGCCCAAACAGTTTTCGCCAACAATGTCACCCACCTTGTCTTCCATCACTCAGGTATGCGTGGCCACCTTCCCTACGTGTATGTCTCCCTTCCCCTACTCTTTTCCTGCTAAGTTCTCTCTTCCACCCTCCTTTCCTCAAACACCTCTTGTTCTTACTTCCCATACTTCTTGTCTCATTCATCTCCTTTAATTCCTTTGTCCTCTACCTGCTACATCTTTTATCCATCTTGTTTCCTCTTGGCTTAAGACTGCAAACCCTGAGGTAAAGCTTTCTGACAAATCTGGGCCCTGCCTCTTACTTATAGTCCCCTTGTGGACAGTTTAATTTCTGTGAGCCTTAGCGTCCTCATCTATTAAACAAGGGTAGGACTGTAAGAATCAAAGGAAATCATATAATTGAACTGCTCAGCACCATGCCTAGTCCCGGTGCAAGCTTGACATGTGGTAGGTTATCCTTTCCCTTTTCTCCTTTTTTTGTTCCTGTCTTTCTTTTCTTGTCGTTTTTCTCATGTCTCCATCCTGTCCCATCCCTTTTCCCATCTCCTTTCCTTCTTTTCTAGATTTCGTGGACTCAGAGAAGCTCAGATCATGAAGCCCAATCCTTTCATTTTATAGACATGGAGACTGGGGCCCAGAGGGCAAGTGATTTTCCCACATTTACACAGCATGTTAGGAAGAGGTGGGACCAGAACTAAAGTTTAGGGCTTTTCCTCAATGCTGAAAGTCTTAGCTCTTTCCTCCCTCCCTGTCCTCCCCTTCTTTTGCTCTCCCTGTGCCTCTTCTGTCACCCTCATGTCCTTTCCCTCTCTTCTGTCCTACTTTCTCCTTCTCCTTCATTAGTCTTCCCTGGAATGTGTGTTCTGTGTTCCATCTGATGCACGTCCCCTTTTCTGTAGGAAAGGCTAAGATCCAGACCCGGCAAGGGCTGTGCTCTCTTGGAGCCTAGAGTGAACCTAACTTACTTCCCTCCTTTCCTCTTTGTTTCCTTCCTCTCTTACTCTCTCTGGCCTTTTCAAGACTTTAGAATGGCAGTTTTCTAGTTCACTGTTGTGCTATTAAGCACTTGTTAGGCATGTCATAAGTACTTGATTACTAAAAATCATTAAAACACCAAAGTTTAAGAATGTTTACTCCCAGACTGGATTCAAAATTATTCTTTTATTGGCCTCAATCAATTGCTTTCATTCTGATAAGCAGTTTTGAGTAATTGCACCTGATCCCAGGGATATCCATGGGAACGCTGTCAGGTTTGTGTTGAGGATGATTGCATCTTCCAAGGGTGGGAACCCCTGGCTAAGAGTTCCTCTTGGGGGCACACGGAAAGGTAAGCTTCCCCCTTTTTCCTTCTCTTTAGGGCGTTCCCCTGGACACCAGTAAACTGCCCACTGACCAGCGGCTGCCTTCATACCCATATAGCCCCCCAAGTTTGGTTCTTCCCACCCAGCCACCCACCCCAAAGCCTCTACCGCAGCCAGGGCTGCCCTCTCAGGCCTGCTCAGTGCAGCCCTCAGCTGGGCAGCCCTCAGGCAGGCAGCCACACTATGGGACACTATACCCACCGAGCTCCAGTGGGCATGGGCAGCAGTCTTACCAGCGGCCAGTGAGTGACTTCAACCTGGGGAACGTGAGTACCCAGGTCCCTACCTCTGAAGCAGGGGAGAGGCTGGGTTTGGATCAGATGGGCCTGAGTGGTATCACTGATGCAGCCTGAGTTGGGAGATCCAGGTCGGGGAGATCCTCCCGCTCCCCAGAGAACATGGCACTGCCAACTTGGGGCTCCTCTAGTCCTGCATTTGATCCTTCTTCCTGTCTGTCTCCCCCTAGCTATCTCTGCACAGCTTGCTCTTTGATGACCACTGCTTTGACCCGTTCTCTTCCTGGCACGCGCAAGCTCTGTCCCAGCAGGTACGGTGCCCACACCTACTTTGGGCCCCGTGCTCCCCTCTGTTGCTTTGCTTGCTGCCATCTACTCTGTCTCTGCTTTTGTTCTGGCTGGGAGGAGTTATTGGGCAAAGGGAATACGTTAGCAGGGCTAGGCAGTGGCAGGCAGGCACCCCTGTTCTGAGGCCCGCTTTCTCAAGGTCTGTCTCTGTGTCCCTAGCTGGAGCAGTTCAGCATGGAGAGTCCATCAACCAGTCTGGCGCTGGATCCCACTGGCTTTTCTGAAGGGTCTGGATTTTTAGGGGGTGAGGGATCAGTGAGTGGCCTCCAGGACCCCCATGCCCTCAACCACCAGAACTTGACCCACTGTTCCCGCCATGGCTCAGGGCCTAACATCATCCTCACAGGTGAGAGCTGTAGGTGGTCTTGGGGGATGGAGGGAGGGAGTGATACATTTGCTGGCACAGCAGGAGATTGAGGGGTTCTCACCCATTTCTTCTGCCCATACAGGAGACTCCTCCCCAGGTTTCTCTAAGGAGATTGCAGTAGCCCTCTCTGGGGTGCCTGGCTTCGAGGTGTCAGCAGCTGGGTTGGAGCTGGGGCTGGGGCTGGAGGAGGAGCTGCGCATGGAACCACTGGGCCTGGAAGGGCTCAACATGCTGAGCGACCCCTGTGCCCTGCTGCCTGATCCTGCTGTGGAGGATTCATTCCGCAGTGACAGACTGCAGTGAGGGGACTCATCATCCCTCTAATTGGCCCTGTTCCCCATCACTGTTCCTTTCCTCCCATCCCCCCTGGCCAGTAGAGACTACTCTGCCCCCAGATCCTCTTTCTAACGTGAATGAGGGATCCTAAGAATGAGAAAAAGCAAGGGGTTTTTCCAGGTGACTCCTGAATTCTGCACAAGGGGTGGGCCTGGGGGAGCTCAAGGGAGGGTCTGAAGCACTTGTAACTTTGAACCGTCTGTCTGGAGGTCAGAGCCTGTTGGAAAGCAGGGGGTAGAGGGGAGCCCCAGAGGCAGGGCTAGTTCCAGATGCCCAGGGGTGGGCAGTGCCAGCCCCTCGTCACCACTCTTCCCCTTGCAATGGAGGAGAGAGCCAGAGTGGATATTATTTTTTATTAAATATATTATATGTTAATAAAAAAATCGTATTAAACCCTTGGTGTGGTTGGCTACTGTTTGGGATGTGATTGGAGAACAAAGGGGTCTTTGGGGCACAGACCCTTTCATGTTATTCTCTTTGTGTCTTCTAAGCACATTGTGGTTTGTGGAGGGCCCCCCTCCTTCCCGGCCAGCCTCAGAGTTTGTTCCCAGCATTGGACATGGGGGTTCAGGCTGCACGCTCCCTTGGCAGCACAGGTGCCCTCCCATCTGTTCAGGGCCCTGCTGCGGCATCGGTGGACAGGGGCTCTGACCAGATGGGTTATGCCTTTACCCCTGGGGCCTGGCTGTGAGTTGAAGTGAGGTGACTGCTGGCTCGACTCAGGTCTGATGCTTCTGGTAGAATGACCCCCGCTTTTTTCAGGAGTAGCTGGCCTCAGTGCTAAGGCTACCTCGAAGAGAGGATATAATACACCAGCTAGGTTTTGGGGTTGGCTTCCCTTCTCTGTGGCCCTTTAAGCCTAGAGGTCCTTGAAATTAGACAAGGAAATTGTCTAGAGGTCCTTGAAATTAGATACCTGGCCAGCCTCTGATTCCATTCCTCTAAGTCTTGGGTAAGCTCTGAGGTCTCATTCCTGCCTTCTCACTAGCTGCGAATGCACCCTCCCCACACCCTTCACTCATTCATTCTACAGATGCTTAAGTGTTAACAACATTCTAAAGAGGTTTCCTCTCCGCGGCTTGGTTTGCTAGCCCTCTGACCATCTAGCCTCGGTCCTCTTCTCTTCCACTCCCAGCATAGTCAGGGGGGTCATGTCCCTTCTCGGTTACCGACACCTCTACTGCTCTTTCATACCATACAGTCCTGGCCTTTCCTCTTCCTCTTTCCAAAGCTTTTGTCATTTTCAGAAAAGAGAACTGAGAACTTCTGGCTTAGGTCCAAAGGGAATGCAGTGTGCCCTAAACCTGGAAGTAGAGGGAGCCACCTGGGCGTCCACTGCCTAGGCCTTCAGGGCCGTCCGCCAGGCCTTATCTGACTAGGAGCGCACCTTGGACTGCAGGGGCTGCCCTAAGTGTCCTGCCGCACCGTCTGAGTGGTGAGAAGCTCCTTAGATGCAAGGGGCCCTCCCAGCCGCCAGGGGTCGCGCTGCAGGGCTCTGGGCGCTGGGCAGGCACCGCCAGGGTCACGGCCGCAGGCCCGGGAGAGGGTGTGGGGAGCAGCTGCGCCCGCAGTCCTTGAGAGGGGGTGGGGGTGGCGGAGAAAGCGGGGCGCGCGGAAGAACACCCAGCCCCCAGCGCAGCGGGAGCTGGGAGGAGCGCGGGGTCCAAGCGAGCTGCACGGCAGTACAGCCCCCTGCGTGGCGCAGCGCGGCGGGGACACAGGGATCGCTCGGATTTCCATCCACCGCGCCCCGGCGCCCTCGGCTGCCTCTCCTTCCTTCCTTCCCTGGCCGCCCCGGAGGGAGTGGCACCCAAGTCGGGTGCGCCATGTCCGGGGCAGGGTAGCCCGCCGTCTGCCGCCCGCCAGCCCGCCAGCCCACCCTCCGAGCCGCCCGCAGCGGGCCGGCCGGCCAGGGAGTCGCAGGGCAGGCAGGTAGGGGCCGGACCGGGCGGGGCAGCGGGCGGGGAAGGAAGGGAGTGGGTGCCGGGCGGGGGGAGGTCCCCCAGCTGTTCTCTGGTGTAGCACATCTGGTTCCGGTTCCTCTCTCCTGGGGAAGTGAAAGTGGAGGGGAGTTCTGCGCCTGTCGCCCTGCAACCCCTTGCTCCTGCGGGTCTGGAGCTGGAGCACCCCTCCCTCCGGTTCAGGTCACGCGGAGGCTGGCGCTGCTGCCGTCACGTCCCCCGCGGACTGGCGCTCCTGCCCCTTTCTCAGCAGTCTCCTGCTCCGCCGCCCTCTGCCCTAGCCCATACTTCCCGTCGCCTGGTTTGTGGGCATTGGGACCCCAAGCGGCGCCCATGCCCCTTGCCTTCCCAGGAAGCAGGGGCTGCCTTGTGCAGGGTTCTACCCTGGCTGATTGATGAAGGCTCTGGTGCACAGGTCATGCACAAGATTGGGGCCACCCACTTGCCACTCAACTCGGCCCACCTAAGGGTGCCTGCCTGTTGCCTGGGGGGCATAGGGCGCCCATTCGCCTTCAGTGGATGAGGGATGCGGTTATGCCCCGAGCTAAATTAGGAGGCTGACTGTGATTCCTGGCTTCACCTTCCAGACGTGGAGGCTAAATTTAGCTAGAGTCGTGTGTGTGTCCGTGGGCGCGTGCTTGTGTGTCCAGAGGCCAGGTCGAGGAGTAAGCTAACCTGGGCTCCATAAGATTCCCTTGTTCCCTGTTCTCTGGGGAAGGGTGGAAGGTTAAGTAGGACTGTACATCCTGGAGCCATTCTGAGCCTCCTCTACTTTGCTCGGGGTCCTTTAGTATGAGGTTCCACTTGGCATGATGCTGTGTTGGCACCTTCAGCAGTAACCCCACACACACACACACCCCCATAGGCTGACTTCCGCTGAGCTGCGCTGAGCTGCAGCTTCCCCTCCACTGTTCCAGGAAGTCACCTCCCTTCTCCTCTGAAACACCCCCACTCATCCCGTCCTTTGCTGCAAGCCACCCACCAAGCTCTTTCCTAGCTTCTGCATCTTTGGGCTCCCCAGGATCTTTGGGCTCCAGGATCTTTGGGGTTGGGCCATGGAAGCAGGTGAGAATTCATTTACTGAAGACCGGTTGTGGGCCTGTTTTCGTTTCTGTGCTCCGTGGAGGAGGGCATGGAGATAGCCGGACATCTCCCACAGCTGCTTTTGTCCCCAGTGGTTATAGCCTAGGATACCGGAGGCGGGTGGACATTGTTTTGGGGGTTTTTGGGTGTGTTTTTTTTTAGTTTTCTTTTTTGGGTTCGTGGAATTAGGTGAGGAAAAAAGACACTTGAGTCTGGTGAAAGGACATCAAAGTGTGGGTTTCGTGGGCTTTCTGGACACTTGTGGGGTCCTCACAAAAACCTAGAGGTGGGCTCCTTAGGAACATTAGCTGACCCATGAAGTTCTTATAATGTCATAACTAGGGTAAAAAAGTTAGAAACCCTTAAAACGACTGTAAGGGTGGCATGATGTCATGACCAAAATTAATGATATAGTTGCAAGCACTACAGAAAAGACTGTTACCTGTTATAATTCTGTATGGGTAGGGGATGAAGACGGGTGGGGGCTTTAAGAGGGATACAGGAACAATGATGTCAGCGCCTAGGTTAGCTGTGTGCGGTGGAGTGGAGTTTGGGTTCTTTAGGGAGACGTCTGGTACCACCAAGAGGGAATCCTGTTCTCTTTAAGGAGTTGTGGTGGGCTCCGAGGGCCTGATGATGTCATAGGTGGGAGAGTTCAGGATTGGCTGACCACTGACACTGCCTTTTCTTGAAAGGACTAGGAAGAGGAGGGGAACAAGTGGAGTACCCTGGTTGCCATGGCAACACCAGCCTTCCTTTCTTTATCTCTCCCCCATTTGACCATTCCAGATGCAGTGAGTGAGGGGGGGGCCATGGCGGAGGAGCGGCCCCCCCGGCTGGTGGATTACTTCGTGATAGCTGGGCTTGCAGGGAACGGAGCACCCATCCCTGAGGAAACGTGGGTTCCTGAACCCAGTGGACCCCTGCGCCCTCCCCGGCCAGCTGAGCCCATCACAGATGTGGCAGTCATCGCTAGGTCACTGGGCGAGGAGGTTCCCCAGGGCTACACATGCATCCAGGCCTCAGCAGGGGGCCACCCCTTGGAACTCAGTGCTGGGCTCCTGGGTGGAACTCAACCCGTCATCTGCTACCGCAGAGGCCGTGACAAGCCCCCCCTCGTGGAGTTAGGGTGTGTGCTCCTACCCATGCTGGCACCAGGGAAGACTGGGAGGGACTGTGGGTGAGACAGGGAAAGGTGGGGGTATCAAATGAAGTATTGGCAATGGGAATGGGAAGGCAGCTGGCTAGAGGCCGGAGAGAAGGAACTAAAGCTGTATCTAGTTAATCCTCCCACCGATTTGGGTTTCTGTATTAGTGTTGCTACTTGCTAGCTGTGTGATCTTGGGCAGGGTTTGAGCCCCTCTGGGCCTGCTTCCTCATCTGTAAAGTGGGGAAAATTATACCTCCTCATAAGGTGGTTGAGAAGATTAAATGATATCATCCATAAAAGAGACTTAGCACAGAGTCTATATATGGTAACTTTTTTCTTAGCATTTATTAATGACTGTGAGAGCCATGGAAGGCTTGAGGAGTTGTTGGTGATCAAGAAGTAGAGATGAGGGTGGAAGAGGGGACACAAGATTCTAGAGGGCAGAGTTCAGCAATAAGTGAGCTCTGGGGTCAGGGTTTGATGAGGCCGAGGGCACAAGGCAGGTGGGTAGGACTGAGTAGGCAGACTTGGCAGGACTGGAGTCTTTCTGCTCTGCCCCCAATTTGATCTCTCTCTCTCTGCTCTCTGTGCCAAGGGTGTTGTATGAGGGGAAGGAACGTCCCAAGCCTGGCTTTCAAGTACTAGACACAACACCCTACAGCCACTCGGCCAACCTGGCCCCTCCAGGACCTGGGCACCCTCGAACCTACCTCACTTACCGGCGGGCAGCTGAGGGGGCAGGGCTGCATGCCTTGGGCATCACCGACCTCTGCCTGGTACTGCCTAGCAAGGGCGAGGGTACTCCTCATACTTACTGCCGACTGCCCCGCAACCTCAACCCTGGCATGGTGAGTGGAGCTGGGGCCAAGGGCTGATACCTATACCATCTCGGCATGAGGGTGTGGACACTGGGCACAAAGTATATTCTAGGCCCAAGGCCTCTAATGGCAGGCGTGGGCCCAAAGGGGTGACTGGTCTTGGGGGACTGGGTCTAGTGGGAGTTCTAAAGACAAAAGACCACTTAGGGGTGGTGGAGAAAGTGGGTCCTGGAAACCTTTGTTAGCTGTGTATCTGCTTGTCTCTTGCCATTTCTGGGGCAGTGGGGCCCAGCAGTGTACCTGTGCTACAAGGTGGGCCTGGCCAAGGCCAACACGCTTGTGTATGAGGCAGGTGAGTTGCCCTTTCT